AGCATCCTATGTACAGAATATGTGATTAAAATCGTGTAACCTATCGCCGTGTTGTGTCATGACAAATAATTAGTCAAAATTATCGAATGAGTCTCTGACAATTTGTTTTAACCCTGGACCGAGCGGATGCCCCTAGTCAGACAAAAAATACCCGTTTCAAGATCCATTGATAAAGACGGATACAATCAGTCAATATCACAACTTTAATCAAAGTAGACACCGTTCTGTTTTTCACATCATTGAGATCATCTATCTGACAAGGATTCTGGGGCGGATATCCCGTCGGAGACGGATGATACGTCTCTTGTGTGAAAACGGCTTTTTTTTAAGGAAAGAAAGACTTGTTAATATCTGGCATCATAAAACTAACTAAACTTTAGCTACCTTTAGAGGTCTTGAAAATGCCGATATTCACACCCAAGTGCATATACGATGTAACTGACTAGAAACGCAGGCAATGATAGTACTCGATTGCCCTAATTTTATTGTTGACTAAAATGTTTAACGCCGTAAACTATAGGTAACTGCAAAGATTTCGACTTTGAGAATGGCGCTGCAACACTATCTGAATGGACCAAAACTGGACACGCATTCGATGGCCAACCTACATATGGAGACAATGCCCGCATACGTGATCCCAGAATCAACACTAACGTCCAAGGCGACTGGTGGATAGGCACCTTTGAGAACAGGTCTAATCCTGAAGAAGATGGAGGATATATGGCAGGCGATTACCCAGTGGGGACGCTGACGTCTCCAAAATTCCGTATCATTGGTCCAAAAATGTCCTTTCTTCTTGGCGGAGGCTGTGATGTGGGGCAAATTCGGGTTGAGCTGCTCGTAAATGGTCAGGTTGTGCGCGAGGCTTTCGCTGACGAATGTCGTGAACACATGAGAAGAAGAGAATGGGATGTGCGACAGTTTAAAAACCAGTTTGGTCAAATACGTTTGGTTGATGCATCAAGAAAGGGACACATAAATTTTGACGACTTGTGGGGAGATTTTTCTTGCACTGGTGAGTGAGACAGGTTGTTTTATTTACAAAACGAATTTATTGATAGCAATTTTCAGTCCCACAAATATAATGATTGATCTTTAATACAACTATTTTAACCTTAAGTCCTTAACCATGCAAAAATCGACTTCGACCAGCACCACCCCTATTGCCGAATATACTGAAAAAGAGTAACGTCAAAGTTTGGAACCTCATCCCATAAGTTTTGAACCTTTCAACAGTGTATTTGTATATGAGATCAAATGTTGAGGAGAGAAATTGGGGATAATCTCACGCGCTTTTTATCCAAAATTCTGATAATTTTCCGCACTTTTTGGTCTTTAGCCTTTAATTTAGGGCACAAAGTACGCACACAGTCATGTTTTTTTAACTTATTTTTTCTCCTCGAAAACTCCAAGCACTGAAAAGTTTAGAACATAAATTTCGGCTTAAGCTCACAAGTTTCTGATTTTGTCGACACAATACCTGTTAGAATCCTTGTTGAAGTGTTCTTTCGTGTGTTTAGGTTTTACTAAAGCTTCCTTTTAATGCCCTGACATCTTTATTCTTAACATTTCAAAACTTCGACGACATCTTGGCACTGAGACGTACGGAACATTGCCATGGCAATTTTGCAATTTGACATGTGAACCGGCATAAATTCAAGCTGAAATTTCGCGCTAAAATAAAAGGCGTAATTTGTGACCCATGATATTATGGATTATATAACCTGATAGGAGAAATTTGATTGCCTCAAGTTTTCTTACTGGCTTGTGGACTTGGCCCAGGAGCCGGGCCGTCCCCCACACTCCCTTTCAAAGATACGTGGCTCGTGAAAATTAGTTTGAAGTGTTTTCTTGTCCAGCTTGTGCTTGGCATACACCTGCAAATGGCAGACAGGACCGGAGAAGATTGATTTGGATGGTTTCTGCTCTTTACAACACGAAGATGGCAGAAGAATATGACAACTGAAAAGAGAAGAGAGAAATGCCTACTAACATATCTGTGCTTTGCCCTTTTGCGGGTTGTACGCGTTTAAGATTTTTATGTTTTTTGACATACTCATCAAACAAGACATTTCCTCTAATCCCCAACAACAACAACAACAACAACAACAAAAGAATAGGTTAAAGGAGCTTAGCGCCCGTCCTTCGTCGGCGCGCGCTTAAGCGTCAAGCAGATTCTGAGGCTCTTTACTTATAAGTATAGTCGGTTGAGAAAACCAGATTTTTGTGTTTAACTCCGACCAACACATTTTCTAACTAACCCCTAATTCATTTTGTGCATTTTGTAGGTAATGAGACAGTTAGTATGAATTTACAAGATTCTAGCTTTTCAGGAAAAAATAATACAGACAATGAAGGTATGTGCTCTTAACTTTCACTGGTAAGAAATATGAGGAAACTGCAGAGAATTGTAAAAAACGAGCAGTAAATTTGATTTTTACGTTAACTGCTATTTTCAAATAAAACGCGACATCAATATTTTATTTTTTGGGTGTTAAATACCTAAAAGAGGACCAAGCGTCTAGTCTGCGAATACAGCCTCATATCGTTCCTTGTCACTTAACGCCGATATGAAAATTGCTTTTCAATTTCTTTGATTTACAAACCTGCTTCACTTTGCTGAAATTGGTAAATTCTACAATTTTATATGGAAATGGCTAATTGAAACAATTTGGTAACGTCCATTAACGTCAGCATGAGAATTTATTCTTTTCTTTGGTTTACAAACCTGCTTCATGCTGAATTTGGTAAATTCTACTATTTTATATGGAAAATGACCATTTTCAAACAATTTGGTAACGTCCATTAAGGGCAGCTGTATTCGCATGCTAAATTGCAGGCTATCATGTGTATTTTTAATCATAAATTGAAGTACCGTAAAATTCCGAACATAAGCCCCGGGGCTTAATATATTTTTCAAAGGCCCTTTTTGAGGGGCTTATTTTTGGAGGGGCTTATACTCGGAGGGCCTTTTGTACGGAGGGAAATCTGCGTTTCAAAATCGATTGGGCTAGCTTATAGTTGGAAGGAAATTTTAACGTTTTTTGCTATGCTTTACTTTGTATTTGTGACCAATTTCTAAGTACAAGCCCCCGGGTGCTTATATTAGGAGGAGCGATTTAACGGAGGGTTTTTTACGTTACGAGTTTGAGGGGCTTATGTGCACGGAGGGGCTTATTTTCGGAATCTTACGGTAAATCTTGCAAGGCCCAGAAACGTATTGCAAAATTATTACGGTCACTTTCTTTAATTAAATTTTGTAAGTTTAACAGATTAAAGTTAAATTTTTAACGTTGTAATCACTTTTTTGTCTCCGTTTAGGTGAAAAAGACGATTTTGTTGTTGTTGACGAACCATTAGTTGCTGTGAACCCAAACGCCACTAAATCTAATGAAAGTTTGTTAACAGGAACGGGTATAAATCAGCATTATTTATTCGTTATCGAGCAAGTCTTTAATTACTTCACCTTACTGGTAATATTCACTCTCTTAGGCCATACCTCTACCGTGGATGTTGGCCACAAATTTAGGCTTTTGTACATTATGCTTTTGCTTCCCTACTAAAATGCTCCACCTTAATGCTCCATTTTTCCCACTAAAATGCTCGGTCTCCCCAAAAAAGTCACTAAAATGCTCGGATAATGCTCAATATACAAACGGTTTTTTACGTGTAAGTAACAAATACAACGTGTACAAGTTCATAAATCCAGCCAAAAAAGCCAGCTGTATTAGGTTTTTTGTGAATTTCGAATTTTAGTCTTCATTTTGTTTAAAAAAGCAGGAGCGCATGGGGCATGGGCCCCCGAAAAAAGTTAATTTCTATTTTATTATCTCGCAAAAATTAATTTTCCGGGGAAAATGCCACTAAAATGCTCGAATAATGCTCAATGCTTTTGCCTCACTAAAATGTTCGAAAAAATGCTAGCATAATGTACAAAAGCCTACACAAATTGCTAAAAGTATCTCGTATGGCATTAATATACCGTAAACTGCTACTTATAAGCATCCCCCCCGAATTTAGACCCGTCTACCTAAGGGACCGGTCATTATTGATCACCTGGGTGGGGTGGGGATCACTTGATTTTAAGGAGAAAAAAAGGGGGATCAGTCGTAACAGGGAACCCAAAGTGGGGGATCAAAGGAAAACTTTGGAAACATTTAGAGGGGGGACCACTCAAATTTGCTTGGAAAATGAAGACATGGTGCCCAGGGGGGATCGCGAAAGTCATCAAATGTTATTAGGGGGGATCACTTCAGTGAAGTAACAGTCAAAGAGGGGATCGGCTAAATCTCACCTTGTTTAGCCCCAAATTCCCCCCCGCCCCCCAGACGATAAATAATGACCGGACCCTAAAAACAAAAAATTACGTCCGGTTATAACACCCCTCTAGCTTGTATTGAAATGAATTCGATGTATAATGCAAAAAAAAAAAACAAACAAACAAACACAAACAAACAAACAAAAAAAACAAAGACAAATAACAAAAACACCTCAGAGATTCAAACGCCGATGTTCAATTTATTATTTGAATCTGATTCTTGATCTTTAGGTTGAAAAGAAAGGTTTTTTGGAACCAGAAACGTTGAATGTGTCATAGTAGAACTATTTTCTTTCTTTATTTGATACCATTAAAAAAATCTCTCTGCTACAATCCCGAGTAAAACAAACTGGCGAAACACTTATATTCTGAATTTCACTTTCCTACAGACGATGAATATGGTGCACTCCAGAAGGCTGCAAGACCACAAGCGCCGATGCAACAGAATCCCATTCAAGCAGGGAGTGGTAAGAAACGTGAATTCGTTTCACGATGGTCGGTTGCTAGGGCTTTTGCTCCCGTTTGGTCTTAAATTCAATTTCTGGCTTACAGCGGGGTAGTTTATATTTCAAATGAAGCAAAACATTAGAACATCTTAATTGGAGAAAAGTTTTCTTTAAATTTTTACAATTGTAAAGGTATTTTTGACTTTTCTTGAAAGTATGACGTCATAAGTGACACCTATTTTTAGTAACAACGTTAAAAATTTGATAAGCAGTGTTCAAAATGCTACAAACATTTTTGTTACAGAAAAACAATATTTACAGTGAAAACCCCATCTCAATCGGATAAAATGGCGTGAAGTTACAGGTAATTAAAGAAATCAAATTTCCCGCCTCATGACCATATATGGTCAAACTTTAGGGGTATTTTAACGCGAAAACAATGAATGTATTTACAACGGAAAAAAGACAAAGCTGCATAAAATCAAAATTGTAGTTTTTTGAATTCGGCATATGTGGTGCTATGACGCGTATTTCGTCACAAATTACGTCATTATGACGTCAAAATGACGTAATTCGTGACGAAATACGCGTCATAGACCACACATCCTAAACTCAAAAAACTACAATTTTGTTTTTATGCAAATTTGTCTTTTCTCCGTTGCGACTACCTTCATTGTTTTCGCGTTAAAATACCCCTAAAGTTTGACCATATATGGTCATTTGGCGGGAAATTTGAATTTCTTTAATTAAATGTAACTTTGCGCCTTTTCATCCGATTGAGATGGGGTTTTCACCAGAAATCATAGAATTCTATACAGAAAACTAATGTAAAATTTTTAGCATTTCTTTCCTGAATTTTCTTTCTGATGCCAAATTTGGACATCATTTATGACGTCACAATAGAAGTCACATGGGATGAAATAAACACCAATAAATAGGTAATTTATCAACTTACTTCCTTGCCAAGTTTTGTTACATTCCATGCATTCTACTTCTCTCTATGGCCCTAAACTCTCAGTTTTGAGAGGTGTGGGAGCAAAAGCCCTAGCAACCGACCACCGTGTTTGTTTACAAAAAGTAGAGAATGACTAAAAGTCCTTTAAGGCTAGAGGAACTAAAGGTGCATTATTTGCTTTTTATGTCGATCACATAAATTATTCTTCCTTGAAGATGGAAAAATAGGGGCCTGCCGGAGATATATTCAGCCATTTTACAAAGGGGAAGGGAAGGCCAGTGGAGGAACGTTCCAAAACGTCTGAAAAATTAAAGACCATAAGTAACGTTTCTGTGTTTTATCTTTCAGATTTATCTCCGCATTTTCTCAAAGGAACAAAAATCAGTAATTCCAACATGTATACAGCACCAAAGCGTCTTTCATCAAATGCTGCCTCTGTTTCAAACGTCGCGAATGCCTCGCTCGATACGCTTGGTGATGAATCTGCTAACAATATGTCCGATCTCACTAACGGTCAATTGAGGAACCCTACAGGTACATGTTAGAACAATTATCAAATACGTCTGTTTGACTTAAATATTGTGAATACAGTAAGGACTAACAGTCCCGTCACCCTATGGCGGGCTTCTCTAAAAAGCTTTCCTTGCCATTCTAGTCTTATGAGACAAAATACTAGCCTTGTATAGCTAGCTGATAAAATTTCACCAATGTGCTGTGATCTAAGTAAAGAGTTACCTTGAAGTTCGTGCATAAAAGAGAGGGGTAACGGTGAGGATGTGGGGGTAACTCTATGATTCTACTACTCCTTACTTACTGAGCCCGTTTCTTGCTCCTCCTGCCCTTGCGCCCTCCTTCCTATGTCACGAACATTTACTTAGAGTTGATGGTAAGCCCAGATATTCCTTCGAACCGCATGTTCTTTACTTGTCATAAATATGCTCAAACACCAAACGGTTTGCATAGAGTATTCATTTTTGCTTATTTCTTCCTTCCTCCTACTTTTTCGTTACCCTAATTTTTTCCAAATACGCCTCCCACACGAAGAAATTCCTTCCACTATACAGCACTGCAGTGCATACTTGAGAATTTAATCATAGTAAGTTGTTGTCACCATCTCTTTGCCAGTCAGCATTTATGACCAAAATGTTTAATCCTGTACATTTTAGGTAACTGCAAATATTTCAACTTCAACAATGGCTCTGCAACACTTTCTAAATGGAACGAAACTGGACCGGCATTCGACAACGAAGGAGGGTTCAGAGAGGATTACCCTGAAGGCACGCTTACCTCTCCAAAATTCCGTATCATGGGCCCAAAACTGTCCTTTCTTCTTGGCGGAGGCTGTGATTTAGGGAAGATTCGGGTTGAGCTGCTTGTGAATGGACAGGTTGTACGAAAGGCTCTCGCTGACAAATGTCGAGAAAACATGAGAGGGAGAGAGTGGGATGTGCGACAGTTTAAAAACCAGTTTGGTCGAATACGTTTTGTTGATGCATCAGGAAACAGACACATAAATTTTGACGACTTGTGGGCAGATTTCGCATGCAGCGGTAAGTGTGTTTTTCGTTCACAAAGTTAATTTGTGGCATTGACTTGGTCAAAAATATGATAGCGTAGACGCTCTTGATAGGCTTGGTAAGAACTTTACAAAAAAACAAGTCCGTACCCACCGGCACAGCGATCAGTTTTCTGAGTGATCCCCCTAGAAAGAACAAACACTAACAAAAACAAGTCCCCTGCCTTCTCCCTACTTTTTGAGACAATTCTCCGTTCCGTCTACGTTTTCGTCTAGCTGCCAAACCTGTCGCCCATACCTCATTTAGTCGTTTATTCATTCCCCTTATACACAGCCCTGAAGTGCATACGACAATTAAATTACGGTAAGCTCTACAACACAACAGAAAGGTCTCTCATACCTAGTTAGGTTTGTTGATGAAACTGTTTAATCCCATAAATTTTAGGTAATTGCAAATATTTCAATTTTCAAAATGGCTCTGCAACACCATCGAAGTGGAACAAAACTGGACCGGCATTCGACAACGAAGGAGGGTTCAGAGAGGATTATCCTGAAGAGACGCTGACTTCTCCAAAGTTCCGCATCATCGGTCCAAAGATGTCATTTCTTCTTGGTGGAGGCTGTGATATGGGGAAGATTCGGGTTGAGCTCCTTGTGAATGGCCAGGTTGTACGAAAGGCTCTCGCTGACAAATGTCGTGATAACATGCGAAGGAGAGAGTGGGATGTGCGACAGTTTAAAAACCAAATTGGTCGGTTACGTTTTGTTACTGCATCAGGAAAGGGACTCATAAATTTTGACGACTTGTGGGCAGATTTCTCGTGCACCGGTAAGAGTTGGTTTGGCGCACAAACTGAAGCTAATTCGCGGCATTGAATTAGTCAAAAATACAATGTAGTATAGACGCTCCTGATAGGCTTGTTGAGAATTCTGAAAAAAACAAGTCCGTTCCCCCTGACACAGCGATCAGTTGTCGGAGTGATCCGCCAAGTAAGAACAAACACTAACTGATACGTATATCTAACTGGCTCTGACTGCATTAAGGAACAGGTGATCCATTTCCCTATAGAAGATCTTAATGAAGTCATGATATTCACATTATTTTAAGAAGAAGAAAATCACAGGGGTTCAATCTACTAACATTTACTCAATAGTTATACTAATCTTTAAAAGTCAGCTAATAAATCCGCGCACGTTTTCTTCCTGTTACATAACAATATCACTTGCAGGTGATGAATCCGATGCAGTCCAGACTGATTCAAAGCTGGAGGGAACGCTACAAAATACACTAGAACAAAAAGGTAAGAAGCAAGTACTTTTAGTTTTTAATACATGAAACAGAGGAGACTGAGGAAGTGAGGGGTAAAGTGAAAATCGCCAGCCCCATACTATTTTTGCCAGTCTCTTCCCCCTTCCTTCCTTTGAACCTCCTTTCTAAATTGTCGTCCACATTTGCTTGAGGTTAATGATTATTATAAAACCCAGCGATGTCCCTCAAAGACGCATACACCTGTTTATAATTGATACAGCAGCTCAAACACATAAGGGTCTGCAACAAGTCCCTTGGACTCCTCCTTACTTTTTGAGGCAATTTTTCCCTTCCATCTACTTTTTCGTCTGGTTGCCAAAACTGTCTCCTGTACCTCATTTAGTCATCCATTCCCCTTATACACAGCTCTGACGTGCATATCATAATCAAACAACGGTAAGCACGCTCTACAGTATAAAGTGTCTGTCATACCTAGTTACGTTTGTTGACCAAAACGTTTAATCCCGTAAATTGTAGGTAACTGCAAATATTTCAATTATAAAAATGGCTCTGCAACACTTTCTAAGTGGAACAAAACTGGACCGGCATTCGTCAACGAAGGAGGGTTAAGAGAGGATTACCCTCAAGGGACGCTTACCTCTCCAAAATTCCGCATCATCGGTCCAAAGATGTCATTTCTTCTTGGTGGAGGCTGTGACATGGGGAAGATTCGGGTTGAGCTGCTTGTAAATGGACAGGTTGTACGACAGGCTCTCGCTGACGAATGTCGAGAAAACATGCGAAGGAGAGAGTGGGATGTGCGACAGTTTAAAAACCAGTTTGGTCGGTTACGTTTTGTCGATGCATCAGGAAACGGACACATAAATTTTGACGACTTGTCGGCAGATTTCAGGTGCAGCGGTAAGTGAGTGTTTTTTGCACAAAGCCGAGTTCTGGCATTAAATTAGTCAAAAATTCAATAGTATAGACGCTCCTGATAGGCGTGGTTCCAACTGACACAGCGATCAGTTGTCTGAGTGATCCGTCGAGTAAAATAAAAACACTAACTGACACGCATATCTGACCTGCTCCGACTGCATTAAGCAACAGGTGACCCATTACCCTATAGAAGATCTCAATAAAGTCATCGTATTCACCGTATTTTAAGAAGACGAAAAGCTCATACGGTTTAAATCTAGTAACGTTTACTCAATAGTTATATTAATCTTTAAAAGTCGGCTAATAAATCCGGGCACGTTTTCTTCCTATTATAAGACTATGATAAAACAATATCTGTGTTTCTTTGAAAAACTATACTTTTAAATATTACTTGCAGGTGATGAAACCGAGGCAAGACTACAACATACACTAACACCAAAGGGTAAGAAGCAAGGACTATTTTTTTATAATGCATAAAACAGAGGGAACTGAGGAAGTGAGGGGTAAAGTAAAAATCGCCAGCTCCATACTTTTTTGCCAGTCTCTTCCTTCTTCCTGCCTTTAAACCGCCTTTCTAAAATCGTCGCCAACACTTGTTTGCAGATAATGATTATTAGAGACTTTAGATTCAAGGACGAAGACGACTACGAGTACGAGATTTGAATTTCAGTTTTTTAGCGCATTCTAAAAATATAGACTCCACGGAAAGCTTCATTTTACCATTTTTCACTAGAAAATTTAGCACTGTTACCTTTAGTGAAGGAGGTTACACCCTCTCCCGATCGCGAAATGATAAAACTGCTAACATTTGATAACTTGTTTCCGCCACTTCGACCTTCTCGCTAAAACTTGTAGTAGAGTGACGACGGCTACCACTTTCCCGCCAAAATGACGCTGGTTCACGCGCGAGCACTACTTAAGTACTGATAAAATCTCGTACTCGTTGTTGCACTCGTCTTAGAATCTAAAGGTTTCTGTTATAGAGCTCAGCAATTTCCCTCAAAGTCGCATTCACCGGTATATAATACAGCAGCTCATACACCTAAGGGTCAGCAAGGAAGTCCCCTGCACTTCCCCTCACTATATTTACATGTTTAATATTATTAGTTTAAAAGTAAAAGTATATTCTAAATACTATAATACTATATTGTAAAACTAGCTTTAAAACGTTCCGTGTTAACACAGGGTAGCAGGTAGGCTTGTTTGAGTTCTCAGACGTTTTGAAGAGTCTTTAACCCTGGGCAACAAATTAAAGATGAGTAAGCAGTCAACTAATCTTCTTAGAGATTTTCCTGTCTGATTTTTCAAGCAAATCGTTATCCTATAGCATAGGATATAAAACGGCGTTTATGACATCTGCGAAGCAACTGCTGCACAGTATTAAGTTCAGACACGGAGGCTACATACACCGGTAAACTATACGAAACTTTAGACTGAAATGAAAAATCAATTTCCACTTGATTATATCCTTAATAAGTTACTTAACACGTAGAGGCACTTATTCGCTTCGAAACGTTTTCATTTAATGTGTTCCGTAAATCTGCCATTGCGCTGGAAACTCACTCCAAGTAGCACTAGAAATTTGGCCTGCTTTATATTTCCAGTAGGACTAGGATTTGCTTGTCCTTTCTCAGTGTTCAAAACTAATTCTTTACACTTGGATAGATTGCAAGGCATAGAGTTTGCACTTGACCATCTAAGGTATAGCGAAACTACATCACTTGCACAATCAGTTCGGCCCTATTTACAATAACTTGCATCGTAGTATCATCGGCATATTTTCTAAGAGAAGCAGCAAGACAACTTACGAGATCGAGATCATTAATAAAAAGATAAACAAATAAGGGCCACACTTTTTGAGGCAATTTCTCCCTTCCATCCACTTTTTCGTCTGGTTGCCAAAACTGTCAACCATACCTCATTTAGTCATTTATTCCACTTATACACAGCCCTGTAGTGCATATGATAATTAAATCACGGTAAGCTCTACAACACCACATAAAGTGTCTCTCATACCTAGTTAGGTTTATTGACCAAAATGTTTAATCCCGTAAATTGTAGGTAACTGCAAAGATTTGGACTTTTCGAATGGCTCTGCAGCACTATCTAACTGGAGCAGAACGGGACGGGCATTCGACAGAGTTGGAGGGTTTAAAACAGAGGATTATTCTGTGGGGACGCTAACCTCTCCAAAATTTCGTATCATGGGCCCAAAAGTGTCCTTTCTTCTTGGCGGAGGCTGTGATTTAGGGAAAATTCGGGTTGAGCTGCTTGTGAATGGACAGGTTGTACGAAAGGCGTTTGCTGACGAATGTCGTGAAAACATGCGAAGGAGAGAATGGGATGTGCGACAGTTTAAAACCCAATTGGGTCAAATACGTTTGGTTGATGCATCAAGAAAGGGACACATAAATTTTGACGACTTGTGGGGAGATTTCACATGCAATGGTAAGTGCTTCTTTATTGAAACAAATTCGCGGTATTTAACTTTTTACAGGTGCAATTGTCGCTCCTGGTAGCCTTGGTAGCAATTCTGCAAACAGTTGCAGGTTCGTTCTTTGTGACGGCAGGGAACCATAACCCGGAGTGAGCAGCCGCCATGCTCACACACACGTGTCTATGTAACGGCGATTTCACGAAACGATTAACGTATAGACCAGTAGTTTAGAGCACTTAGCCCGCGAGAATGGAAGTTCCGCTCCGCGTTCGAAGTATAAGAAATTAGAAACAAAATAACATTAAAAGTCATTGAAACTTCGAAAACTCCCTTTTTTGGTCTGTAGGTTTTAATGACTGGTTGGTTATGCTTCGAAACGTTATTCTAGATTCTTGCAAAAATCCTTGTCCAAGTACTGAATATCAAAACGCTCTGACAAAAATTACATCAAACGAAATTTGCTCGTCTTGGTTATGTCCTTTTGATGGCGTTTAGTAGAAAGATCCAACAAGAAATGAAGTCTTTGTGACTGGTTCTGAAAGCATCGAGGAAAACCTAACCCATTGTCAATGAAAGGCATCATGGGCGAAAAGAAATTTGATTAAATAAAGCCGACGCTTTGTGCCGGTCATTTATTAAGTTTTCTGTTATCCTTAGGAACACTATAGTAACACTTATTAACAAGGTCACTTGCAGGTGATGAATCTGATGCAATCCAGTTTGATTCAAAGCCACAGGAGACGGTGCAACAAACACAAAAAGGTTAGAAGCGAGTATGTTTCAGTTTTTATAGGATCAGTGGCAAGTATTTTTTTATTCATACAAAACTGAGAGGAGGGAAAATAGGGGTAAATCTCTCTCCTTCGTACTTTGTGATCTGATTGTTCCTCCCACGTCCAAAACTGTCGCCGAAATTTAGTCATGCCCTGTCCTACAGCCCTAAAGTGCATACCTGATCATAATTTAATCATGGTGAGCTCTACGCCATCAAATGTCTCTGGTTAGGTTTTATTGTTAACCAAAATGTTCAATCTGCCGTGAACTTTTAGAAACTGTAAAGATTTTGACTTTGAGAATGGATTTGCCTCATTATCTAAATGTAGCAAAACTGGACGTGCATTTGACCAAAATGAAGGTTTTATAACAGAGGATTACCCTGTGGGGACGCTGATCTCTTATAAAATTCCGTATCATTGGCCATAAACTATCATTTCGTGTTGGTGGAGGCTGTGATGTAGGGAAGATTAGGGTTGAGCTGCTTGTGAATGGCCAGGTTGTGCGAAAGGCTTTTGCGGACGAATGTCGTGACAAAATGCGAAGGAGAGAGTGGGATGTTCGACAGTTTAAAAACAGAATTACTCAAATACGTTTGGTTGATGCATCAAGGCAGGGACATACAAATTATACAGCGGATGGAAGGCAGGTAGCTAATCTTCTTGGAGATTGTCCTGTCTGTTTTTTCAAGCAAATCGTTAGCCATAGCATATGCATATAAAACGGCGTTTATGACTTCTGCGAAGCAACTGCTGCACAGTATTAAGTTCAGGCACGGAGACTACATACACCGGTAAACCATTCGAAACTTTAGGTAAAACTAAAGACTGAAATAAATGTTCAATTTCCACTAATTGATTATATCGTTCTTTCCTTATGCTCCTTAACACGAGAGGCACGTATTCGCTTCGAAAAGTTTTCGTTTAATATGTTCGGTAAATCTGCCACTGCGCTGGAAAGTCACTCCAAGTAGCACTAGAAATTCGGCCTGCTTTTTGTTACCAGTAGCCTAGAATAGTCCTTGTCCTAGTCTTATCCTTTCTTCTTCAAAACTAATTCTTTACCCGGCCCCTGGATAGATTGCAAGGCATAGAGTTTGTACTTGACCAGCTAAGGTATAGCGAAACTAGGTACTAGCACGATTAGTTCGGCCCTTTTTACAATACCTTGCATCGTAGTATCATGATCGTCATATTTTTTAAGAGGAGTTTCAAGACAGCTCACAAGATCGAGATCATTAATAAAAAGATTAAACAAATAAGGGTCACTCTTTTTGAGGCAATTTCTCCCTTCCATCCACTTTTTCGTCTGGTTGCCAAAACTATCGCCCATACCCATTCCCTTTATACACAGCCCTGAAGTGCATATGATAATTACATTACGGTAAGCTCTACGACACCACATAAAGTGTCTCTCATACCCAGTTGGGTTTATTGACCAAAATTTTTAATCCCGTAAATTGTAGGCAACTGCAAAGATTTGGACTTTTCGAATGGCTCTGCAGCACTATCTAACTGGAGCAGAACGGGACGGGCATTCGACAGAGGTGTAGGATTTAAAACAGAGGATTACCCCATGGGGACGCTAACCTCTCCAAAATTTCGTATCATGGGCCCAAAAGTGTCCTTTCTTCTTGGCGGAGGCTGTGATTTAGGGAAGATTCGGGTTGAGCTGCTTGTGAATGGACAGGTTGTACGAAAGGCGTTTGCTAACGAATGTCGTGAAAACATGCGAAGGAGAGAATGGGATGTACGACAGTTTAAAACCCAATTGGGTCAAATACGTTTGGTTGATGCATCAAGAAAGGGACACATAAATTTTGACGACTTGTGGGGAGATTTCACATGCAACGGTGAGTGTTTCTGTATTGAAACTAATTCGCGGGATTGAACTTTTTACTGGTGCAATTGTGGCTCCTGGTAGCGTTGGTGGCAATTCTACAAACAATCGCAAGTTCGTTCTTTGTGACGGCAGGGACCTATGACCAGGAGTGAGCAGCCCCCATACTCATACACACGTGTCTATTTAACGGCGATTTCACGAACCGGTTAACGTATAGACCAGGCCTGGGTTGTTCCAAAGTTGGATAGCACTATCCATCGAATTTATCACTATCCGACGGGGAAGTATTAGGGAAACCAATTGTACTATCCACTGGATAGAGATTTTATCCAGTAAATAGCGCTACCCAACGTTTAAAACAACCGGGGCCAGTAGTTTAGAGCACTTTGCCCGCAAGAATGGAATTTCCGCTCTGCATTCGAAGTATAAGAAATGAATAAATAAAAAACAAACATTAAACGTCACTGAAACTTCAAAAGTTCCTTTTTTAGGTCTGTAGGTTTTACTGACTGGTTGCTTTATGTTTCGTTACGTTAGGCTAGATTCTTGCGAAAATCCCTGTTAAGTGTTTAGTTGAAAGATCCAACAAGAAATGAAGTCTTTGTGACTAGTTCTGAAAATATCGAGGAAAACCTAACTCACTGTCTATGAAAGGCATCATAGGCCAAAAGAAATCTGGTTTAATAAAGCCAACGCTTAGTGATGGTCATTTAAGTTTTCTGTTATCCTTAGCAACACTACAGTAACACTTTTTTAACAATGTCACTTGCAGGTGATGAATCTGATGCAATCCAGTTTGATTCAAAACCGCAGGGGACGGTGCAACAAACACAAAAAGGTTAGAAGCGAGTATTCGTCAGTTTTTATAGGATCAGTGGCAAGTATTTTTTTATTTCTACAAAACTGAGAGGAGGGAAAATGGGGGTAAATCTCTCTCCTCCGTACTTTGTGATCTGATTGTTCCTCCCGCGTCCAAAACTGTCGCCCAAATTTAGTCATTCCCAGTCCTACTGCCCTGAGGTGTATACTTGGTCATAATTTAATAGTGGTGAGCTCTACGCCATCAAATGTCTCTTGTTAGGTTTTATTGTTAACCAAAATGTTAAATCTGCCGTGAATTTTAGGAAACTGTAAAGATTTTGACTTTGAGAATGGATTTGTCTCATTGTCTAAATGGAGCAAAACTGGACGTGCATTTGACCAAAATGAAGGATTTATAACAGAGGATTACCCTGTGGGGACGCTGACCTCTCCAAAATTCCGTATCATTGGCCATAAACTGTCATTTCTTCTTGGTGGAGGCTGTGATGTAGGGAAGATTCGGGTTGAGCTGCTCGTGAATGGCCAGGTTGTACGAAAGGCTTTTGCGGACGAATGTCGTGAAAAAATGCGAAGGAGAGAGTGGGATGTGCGCCAGTTTAAAAACCGGATTGCTCAAATACGTTTGGTTGATGCATCAAGGCAGGGACATATGAATTTTGACGACTTGTGGGGAGATTTCACATGCATAGGTAGGTGTTCAATTTCCGAGACTTATTTGCCGCATTGAATTTATCAAAGACATAATCATGATAGGCTTGGTAACACTTCTCCTAACAACAAGTCTATTGTCACGAAATATATTCGTGGATAATAGGTATAAAGGGTTTAGTTTTATCGTTTGTCTCACAATTGTCACTTTGACGTTGATCGCGACGTTTCGACCGCACACTGCAGGTCTTCATCAGGCGATAGTGTCGATTTACTGAGTCGAACTATTTGTACCAATGTGGTTGTTAGTGATTGGTGTATCACAAACCTCGCTCATGGTTGTTGGGTTTCGATCCAAAGCATTGTTGGCGTTGTGAGAGGAAGAAACTGATCCCTTAGCAGTCCGCTGCGGTGGAGATCTCATAATTGTGGACACTTGACTTGAGACTGTCCAAGTATAAAGAGAACACTTCATATATCTGAGTGAATGATTTGACTGTATAAGGGAATATTTAATCCTAATTATAACAGGCCCATTACCCTACTAATGGAGGCCTGTAAGAAGTAGTTATTATCATCTTTCTCTAAGGAGACGAAAAGCTCATTTGCTTTCATCTAAACCTTTGCTTAATAGTTAAATTATCGTTGTCAGAGGGTCAGCTGTTAAAACCGTCGTTCAGTGAATTATTGAAATATACGTTTACTGTTAAAGTTCTCTGTTATTCGTTGCAACACAAATACGCCATTTGAACAATGACGTCATTTGACTACTAAGACCATAATTCATTTCGTTTTTGCCCAGTTTCATATTAAAATTTGATCTGCCGAGAGAGGTTTATAACAAAGGTCCAATTTTCAGAAGAACCAAACACCCTGAGTATTCTGGTAGTAGTAGCAGTCAAAAGACGTCATCGTGCAAATCGTCTATTTTAAATATCATTCGTAGGCGATGAAACTGATGCAGCCCAGATTACTTCAAACCCATTAGAAACGGTCCAGCAAACACTCGGTCAACTACCAAAAGGTTAGAACGCAGTATTCATTTTGTTTGTATAGAAATTTGTACACCAGGCCGTCTTAGAACAAGTATCCACATTAATGTTAGCACTTTCGTGCTTAATACATTGACACTTAAATCGAGTAGTACTTTAGTTTTTCAAAATTGAAACGCACTGTCTATAGAACATTTTGCATTAGCGCCTTAGTTTATGCTCTCTATATCTTACAGGACAAAGTAGTCTGCTTGGAGGAACGAAAATCAGCGACTCTAATTTTTATACAAGACCCATCACACGGCCCCATTTTCCAAGGCCCACTCTTACTTGGAAGCTTGCGAAAGCCTCGCCTAATAGGCTTGGTGACAATTCAAGTAATCTGTACCTTCCCAAAGATGATGAATTGAGAAACCTGTCATGTAAGTTCAAATTTAGTTTAAGGTATTAGGAAAGTGCTGTTTTTTACTATAGCTTTGGCTTGCTACTATTGATCTCTTCAAGAATTTCGTTAAGCTAAAAAAATCAAAACAAAAAAAGTGAACTGAATGTTTTCTGTAAAACGTAAAAGCACTAAGTACGTTATGTGCGCCATCTTTCTTTTCCGGTGCAACAGCCTTGTCTTCGATAACGTTTATATCTTTCATTTTTTGGCGTTAAAGATAAGATAAACCTCGTGTGGTGGCCTCTATTACATAGAATGCAGTTTTATATCCCCATTTGTAGTTCCTACTTACAAGTCCATTTGTAGTTTCCTATTCTAGTTACAATTGCTGAGAGTGATTAGCAACTGCGTTGCTTAGTGGCGGTTGGGTGCCTGTTATACCCAGGAGCTTCCACTATTGGCAGCCAGCTCCTAGATAGAGACCGCTCCCATGACTGGGAAATCCTGGCAACCCAGGCATGAGCCCCCACGCGGCAATGGAGAAAGCAAGTACCAGTCACACTGAGAACATCTGTGGAAAAAAGGGCGGGCGGGGGGGGGGGGGGTTACTGCAACACGCTAAGAGATGCACACAGGTCCCAGAGCATGAAGGTTCGTGGTACATGCGCATCTCGCACACACCGCTGGCCAGCAAGGTGAAACAAGCGCTTGTTGTTGTTAATTGCATTAAATTACATTTAACCGCATTAATTGTGTCTCAAATTTTAGGCAAATCCTTCCTTGTGAAAATAAAGACCGGGAAACCTTGGGACAACGATTTTCTTTTTACATCAAATGGAAATTATCAATCAACGAGGCGAGAAATCGAAGTTAAGGTGAGAAATGAAGAAACTTAATCAGAAGTTTCAACGGACTCTAAATTTAAGATGACGATGCCTTCAAATGACCACTAACTGTCTTTTTAAAGGTACTTGACGCTTACGAGGATGATAAAGATTTTCGGGGAGCTTTCTTTACCAAATTCAGGTTCGTGAAATATAATTTAGTTGGAGAAGAATTAACATTTAAATCCCATTTCTGTAGTATTATGTTTAAACCTAAGCCTGTAACAAGATCGAACCAAAATAGATTTGAGTAGGGCGATCATTATTGATGTTATTGCCATCATCAAGACTATCATCACTAGCTATCATTATCATCATCATCGTCAACATAATCAGCATCACCGTAATCATCATTAGTGCCATCACCATCATCAACCTTACCATCACCATCATCATTATCATCATCGTCATCATCATTATCATCATCGTCATCATCATGGTCATTACCACCATCACCATCACTAGCACCATCATCATATTCACTTTTACTTCTGTTTATCATTATCACCATTTGTATGATCTACACTAAGGTCTTCACATTTTTTCGTTGTAGTTCTTATGATGAACCAGGAGAGGTCAAAGCTTTCTTTGTATTACGATTCAGAGCTGTTGGGAAATTCCTTGGAAAATTGATTGATAAACTTGGAGCAGGAAACGTTTCAGCAGCAGGTGAAATTTCACAGTTAGAACTTTCTTGTGTTATAAACAATACAAGTATTTGATACTATATAGTGTGACAAATTGTAATTGTACTCTTGGCCATGACTGTACCATGACAATAATTGTGGAAATGGATAGATAATCTTTTTGTGGCTTTTTGTCATGAAAATAGTTTAAAAATTTTAGATAGGCTGACGTCTTGTTTATCCGATAATATAGGTTGCTTCGACACCACCGACCAGTGTCCAAGTCCCTGCCCACTTACATGTGCACCTCTATGCCAGTCCTCTTGTTGTCAACAATACATTCCTGCCCCAGCCGCTCCAGTTGCTCAATGCCCAAGCCCCTGCCCACAGACGTGCGCGCCTGCCTGTCAGTCATCTTGTTGTCAGCAGCAAGTGGCTGCTCCAGTTGTTCCACCAGTCACCCCAGTCAGTCAATGTCCTAGCCCCTGTCCACAGACATGTGCTCCTTCTTGCCAACCATCCTGCTGTCAGCGACCTGTTTCCGCTTCCGTCGCACCATTAGCTACCCCAGCCGTTCCAGTAACTCAATGTCCCAGCGGTTGTCCGCAGAAATGTGCTCCTTCATGCCAACCGTCCTGTTGTCAGCAGCATAATCCCGCACCAATTCCTCCACCAGTCCCAGTTGCTCAATGTCCTCAACCCTGCCCGCTGGCATGTGCGCCTTCGTGTCAACCGTCCTGTTGTCAGCGTTCTGGTTCTTCTCCCATGATCCCAGTCGCTCCAGTATCTTCATTCACTCCAGTCACTCCTTTGGCTCAATGTCCCAGCCCTTGTTCACAGTCATGTGCGCCCTCCTGTGAGTCTTCCTGCTGTCAGCAGTATGCTCCAGCTCCAGCCATGCCTCAGCCAGTTTCTCCACCAGTACAACCTTTGAGGATAACAGTGTCTAACCCTCAAATCTCCGTCGAGCAACCATCACAGCAGTGGAACCCACATTTACTGGTTTACCCCACACGCCCTGCTGGCACGCAAGCATTGTCTGGTTCCCAGTGCTCTGCGGGTTGTTCTCCAAATTGTGCACCAATTTGCTCGCCTACCTGCTGTCAGTTTTATGACGTTGGCCGTAGAAAAGGAAATGTTAGAAAATGGCTCCGGAGGCAAAGTCTACAGGAAGAAAAGCATTAAAGCAAAGAAGCTAGGCTGGATTTAGATTATCATCTATGGATAAGCCAACAAAACGAATTCAGGACTTAGAAGAGTATTGAGGCTTCCTTAAAACAGAATGCAAATGAGTCAGCTAAAAAGAAGACCTTTTGAGCTGTGATAACGACATGATAGCGTTGTAATGTTTCGAATGGACGTTTTTTGTAGAATACCAGACTGAAAATATTAGACGTCCAAAATTATTCATCACTTGTCATTGAAGGAAACTCAAGAGTTATAATGTTCTTATTTCTTTTACATGAGGTGATTTTGATTTCAACATTTAACTTTATTATAATTTGGGCGTTTGTCTAACTTGTTACTTTGTTATTAGAATTACAACACAAGCATAATTATTCACCTTAGAAAAGACGCGTATTGTCTGTTTAAAGCAAAAAGACGTCAGTTGTAAGGTGATTTGAAACCCCACATCAAATGGCGTTTAATTTTCCTTTTACTAATTATTGTTAGAACTGAACTGATTTTGAGTATTTTGGTCCCATGAATCTGAGCCAGTCTTGTTTGTCTACCACAGTGTATATTTCACGATTTAGAGCCGTAATGCATGTGTTATGGGACTGAATAAAGGAATGGAAACTCTTCGAGCCGGAAATAATACTTCATTTTAATTTCCCTAAAATGTAAAAGTTGCTTAGTACTTGGGCTGAGAAGGAATTGAAAGGGCGAGCTTTAATTACCTGTTAGCCATTTAATTTTTTCCGTCTTTTTTTCGGCAGTTGTTTTTCAATCAGGAAGGTTCACTTGGCTGTTTGTCCTGTGGCTTAATAGATGGAAATTGAATCATAAAACTTTGTTTATCATACAGGTTGTTTCTGTTTAAATGTGACAAATTAATACAATAACAAGTCGTGTTAAAGTGTAATATCGCTATAGACATTAATGTAAAAAATCCTCTTTGAACCGACGTTTTTATCTTTCCTTTATTGGTCTTGCTACAGCCAGATACATGACCGACAAATTATAAGGGTCCGTAGGAGTTTTCCTTAGCTGACTGTTGCTCTAGTTCTCCACGGTTGATAAATTCAAGAATTTATGGTACCCGTTCATTTTACGCCTAGGTTGGCTCTTCTTAAAAAATATGGTTGGTGCATGCTGTGTGAGGGACTAGAGTCATGCAGAGGTATGCAGGCGTCCCATCTAGCAACCGCAAAACACTAACAAACGACTTAGTCACATCAGACTCCAAAAGATCAACAATCAAAGTCTTAGGTCGCAAACTAGATGCTGTCCTGACTTAAGTGACCTTTGAATAAGTCCCTACCGTACCCTAAAAGCTTAGATTGGGTAAAGGGTAATCTGTTCTTTCTAGAACAGGATTTCGTGACTTGGATATCGCATCATAAGGTAAGCAGCAATTTAAAGCTCTTAAAGGAAGGGTCACCTGAGGAAACAGTGCAGGGAGGTGGATAGTTGCTGAAGCTATAAAACATTCAAACTCTTAGCAGTAAGTTATACGCTAAAGCTCTAATTAACAAATAGTCTTAGTTAATTACAATAGTCGACTGATCAACACTATAGGAGAGTGCGAACAATATACTACTTGCCCACACAAAGTAAATCTTTCATCTTACAAAGAAAAAATAAAAACTTGTGTAAGTCAAAGACGATTATGATCATGGCAGCAGGGTTTGGAGAGATCCGGGTATTAATCTGTCAATTGAATTCCTGAATTTTTTCTGTCTTTTAAATATTCGGTTACCATTAACGGAGCCCAGAAGTTCGGCGTCAAAAGTGAGTTTGCGCAGTAAACAATTGTCGTCTCCAGAGCCGGCTTTCTTTTGGTTAGCTCCAAGAACACGATCGTTGGCGCATGCTCAAAGGAATCGTGGCATTGAGATACGAACTTCATACACTCTCCTCTTTCATAGAGGCCCTCTAAAAAAGAGAAGAGGGTGTGAAGTTCGTACCATAATGTTGCCCGTTTGCGGAATATTTGGAAAGAGGAAATCCGACTTTTTACATGTACAAAGTACACTTACAAATTGCAGACTGGATAGAATGTGCGCGAAAGTAAGATCTTAATCAGATCATTATTTTTTAGCGTTAAAAGTCATTGGAAGTGTTTAATGATGCAAAGGAGTAAAGGTTTTTGTCTACCTCTAGTCTGGAATACCTGTTTTACACTCACTTGTCTCATAATGCTGATTCACGACAAAGGTAAATACTTTTACGGTTTCTTGTTAAATTTATAAAACCATTTCTTTCTGATGAAAAAAAAAACCATGTTTTTGTGCGTATCATTGTACACCATTTATCAGTATTAGTATTATGCTCTTGCTTTCCTTTGACGCCAAATCTTACACCCGAAGAGCGATTTCACTGTAGTTTCTCGTTAACATATTGAACCGCGGTGGTGCAAATAGTCCCACTCAGTAAATCGACATTATCACCTAAAAAAGACCTTCAGTATGAGGTCGAAACGTTTCGATGATGTAACTGACTATCGTACAGCAAACGATAAAAATGCTTGATTTTGACCTTTAAGAGATGACGTTACTTATTATTTAAGAGCTGAAAGAGATATTCTTGTTATAAAATATTTTTGAATATGTATAAAAAACGTTCAGCTGTTCTCTTAATTGATCCATCATTAATTTGCCAGATACTTACGACTTTTCAGATGATAACGTTGCAAAAAAAAAAAAAAAAAAGACAATGAATTTTTTCCATGTCAAATTTGGATGTACTTTTTTTCTTTAAATAACTCAGGCCCCGTCCACTCGAATCCGGATATTTTTGAAACTGCACCCTTTTTTATATATACAAGTTTAATCGGTCTTCCGTCCACACGAAACCAGTGAATCCGGGTTTGGTAAATTCGTATGCACCACTGAAACCGGGTAATTTTGAAGTCAACTCCGTCATAAACGCAGGTCCAGTCTTAAAAACTTTTAAGCTTAAAATGGCGGCCAACAATGTTCTGTTTGCAACTTCGCTGGCTCTTTTCGCCAGTGTTTTTGCATGTGTACCGTTGAGATCACTTTTACTATTTTGACGAAAACAATTAGCTATTTCAAAAGAAGATTTAATATAATCTCATCCAGGTTGTAGAATCTTTTAGTTCAAGACGAAGGGTCGACAAACGATTTCGGGTTGTTTCAGCGCGAACAAGTGCTTCGTGGGACAACGTATAGTCAGGCCTGGCCATTGTGCTAGATACAGCTACTACAACATTCAAAATGCCTTGAAATATCACTCGGTTTACGCGTGCCTACTAGCTAGTATTAAATTAGCAAATGTAAATCACAGAAGCGTATTCGTGTGGATGGGTGAATCCAAACGGAAACGCCAAACTCCGAATTCTTGTTGACGAAATAGATAGATTAAGCATCGCCTTTTCGGCAAACGGCAAACAGCAAACGTGAATTTGTACCACGTGACCAAGTTTCCCATTTACTTATCGTTTACTGCTCATTATAATTACACGAAAATCGGTCGATTCACACCAATTCTATCCATAAAAATTGTTTTAAACTGTTTTTATCCGCTCATTTCTCATTTTGAAAATTTCTCAACTTGAATCTCACGTTTGCCGTTTGCCGTAAACGCGATGCCCATAATCTCTCTAATATCAAGTGTGCGGTTTCAGCGTATCCGGATTCGTGCGAGCGTGGCCTTACTCAAAATAAGCTCAGAGCTTACGGATTCTTCAGTACTGGTCCTAGAATGACTTCTTTGACTTAATATTGTTTAGTTTCTTTGCTTTAAATTCTAAGCCTCTACAGGAGCAAATTAGAAGAAAGTGCGGATGACGTCTTTAACTTAATAAATATTATTTTTTTATTTTCTTTGCTTTAAACTTTAAGTCTCAGCAGGAGTGAGTTACAGGAAACTAGGATGCTACAAGGACAACGGACAGAAGAAACGTCCTCTTCCACAGCTTCTATTTACAGATCGTCACTACCTGTCTCCTGTATACAGTGGCAGGAAATTTATCAAGGAGAGCTTCGATCGATCTTATCTTGATGACCTGGTTGGACGATGCGCCTCAAAATGTAAACAGCTTGGTTACGATGTTTTCGGGATAGGGAAATTTGGTAAGGGGGTTAATGAGACGTTGACTCTTTCTCTCTCTATTCTCTTTCCCCATTTTATGTCCAAGTCATTATAATGGAAATGAGCGTCATCTTGTTCCTTTTCATAGTGACCTCAAGTATACAGAGATTACATTTTTAGGTGTAGCGACAGTGCAAGGAATCTTGTCGTTTTATGGCCCTTAAAGGATATAGTGTTATCTGCATCTTTTTCCCATATTAAGCACGTCGTCAACTTCTTCTTCCTTTCCCTAATCTAGCTTTTCTATTTCTCGCTGTAGCTTCTGGACAAGGCTTTGTTAAAAATAGTTCTCAATTTTAACCTTTGGGAGGCTTGGTATTTGGCTTCTAATTACCACAATTTCCTTCTCCTTTTAATTACCATAATTTGTTTCAAGAAACCAATTGAACAAGAAGAAGGATGCAGTGCTTTATTCTCTATCACGGTTAGGTACATATACCTCGAAGTCCGCGGTTAAACGTATCCAGCTGCGCCTCGTTTTCAACCCACTCCTCGTGACTTATCTTTGAATGGACAAATTCAGTGCAATTTATGATTTCATGCTACTCAAAAACGCTGTCCTAGCAAACCCAAGACACGAGTTTTAGTCGTAAAAAGCCAATCATTTAACACCTAAGCTGTACATGACTTATCTTATTATTTGTATATGTTCACAGCGGAATGTTACTCTGGCGATGGCGCATACAAGACATACAAGAATGATGGTCCAACTAAACAGTGCTATACGTCTAAATACCAACCATGCAACTTTGAATGTGAAAGTGTACCGTGCGCTGGAAGTATACATACCATTTTTGTGTACAAGTTAGGAACACGTAAGTTTGTATTACTACCATATCATTCATAAACATTCGTCCTATGGTCAATTACTATCTATGGCTGGGATATCTACTCTACACAACCGGCGACTACAGGACATAGCTATTCTCATGTATAAAGTTAAAAACAACATGTGCCCAGCATACATTAGCACACCTAGTAATGTGAAAAAAGCTTCCACGTTGTCCTCCTTCAAATATAACATCAGAAAAGTGGATCTTAGCATGCTATTAGATGACAATAACTGCTCTAACTGCTCTCTTTGCACTTCTTAATCTTTTATTTATTTATTTTTTTTTTTAAACGTAATGGATACATTTGTACATATTGTATATAGTTCTCTCGAATTTCTCACTTGCTTATACTGTACATAGTTTTTCTTAATTTTTAATTAATTAATTTATTGATTTATTTTTTAAAATTTATTTTAGTGTCCCCACTTAGTGGTTATATACCGCTATTACAGTTTGACACTTTAATAAAGGTATCATCATCATCATCTATTATAGCAGCCTTTTAGTTTCCCAAAAGCTGTTGTACTCATTAAGAGCAGGGCTTAAAATGAAACACGAATGCCGCGCGCAATGCGCAATTAAATGGACGAACACAAGGCGCGTTCTACCTTCAGCAATATTTTTGATTAATAAACCATAAATTTCATAGTGACTCCAAGGCTTTCTTCTTGTTCTTGTTGTTGCTTTTTAAATTGCCTGTTTAAAATTTTATTTCCGTGCCTACTTCTTTCCTTTTTGATACCAAAATATTGCCGGCTTAGGCAACATTTCTCTGTTTTTTAAACATTATTCTACTTCTCATGAACGAAATATTCTAATTAACAATTATTCTTTGAAATCGAGGTGAATAGTGCAAAATATTTACCGAGCCACGAAGTGGCGAGCTAAATATTCCTAAAGCCACTATTCACCGGTGGATAAAAACAAGCCATCATGTCGTTAACTGTTTATTGGTAAATGATCAAGTGGCTCACACTATTCTGTTGAAGAAGCTTTAAATAATATGCGTTGTATCGAGAAGCGATGTATTCTTTCCACCTTTTTTTGATCTCTCTTGGCTACACTTCCAAGTTAAGCGTGTTCGTCTCCCACAAGGTCAACTAGCCATCGTTGAATATGTTTGCATGATCAGTTTGTGCTGATGCAAGTGGTTGTCTACTAGCTAGCTTGTCTGGGGTACCCATTTCATCTTACACCTTCGTGTTTTAGTCTTAATCAGTGGTTCCCAGAAAGCTAGAATGAGCTTAATCTCTCTTGTTGGTTCTTATGTAAGAAAAATAACAGCGTTATGATCTCTTTTATTACAGCAAGCAAGACGTCTTCCTCGTGTTCTTCTTCGAAAGCTTCTCCAAGGCCAGGTGCTACTATATCTACTAAATCCAGCCAGCCCACAGGTTCACCCTCTAAACGTAAGTGATATTATATATACTGTACATCAACGGGGTGGTCAAGTCCCGCCTAAATATGCCCTGTTTTCGTTTTAGAAATCATAAACTAGGGTTCATAAATACTGTACCCTCAACATCCGGGCCCTGGGCCTCTACAGCCCCGATAAGACGGCGAAGTCACGTTTAGACCATTTCTTAACCCGGTCACCCCGCCATTTTCGCCCCTTGGCCACTCCTGCCACTAGCTAGCTACAGGTGTTCTCGGTAGCCGCGATTTACGCTTGTAGCAGTCAAACCGTTTTCCTCAGGCCAGTTGGAATTCTTACTTGTTATCTTAACGAAAAGCCGAAAAAGGCGTGTGCTTCTTACAGGCGTCCACAGGTAAGGATTAACTAGATACAAACAATGTCACGTGGTCTTTCCAGGTGGTAACCTTGTTGCTGAGCTGAACGGTGGGTTTCCAAAGAATCACTTTTTTGTCTCGATCCTTTTCTTCATTTTCTTAAGGAAAAAGTTTATCCACGCGCAGTAGTTTGTCAAGGCCAACAAAATTACCATCCAGAGGAAGAACCTTACCCACAAGGGAAACGTTACCAACTACACAATCAAAAACTCCCGGATGTAAGTATGAGTAACGGAAAGTTTAGAATTGAATAATTAGTTTTCACTTATTACAGTCAATTAATTTTTTTTTTTTAAGCGAAGGAGCGGGGCCTCTGATTTGAATAATGGTTTTAAAATGATAAGCATAAACAATCGAGCTACCTCTACCAAATGGCTATCTCTTAACAAGAGCTACTTTTTCTTGTCCCGGCGGACAGTTCATCCACTATAAAGCTTTAGCAACGACGACGACGACGACTGCAGCAAGAACATCACTGTTAAATGTCACGCTTATCAAACTTTGTTGCGCTTATTCCAACTTTCTCAAAATGCCAAAGGTTGGAGAATTACCCTGGAGTTGAATTCTTGGGGACCGCGCCCAAGTTTACAAGGAGAAGGAACAATTCGTCCTCGTGAATTACGTCTCCTATAAAAAACCGCATAGGAAAACTTCACGTGATTATCGTGCAGTGATGGCAAAGAAATTTACCAAAAAGAGTGATGCATGTGCAAAATTGCCATTTTGTTTTTTAAATCTTTTCTGATGTTCTCGTTACCGTTGCCGTCGTGGTTGTAAGTCCCTCAGTATTAACGTATACAGACCTCCTAAAAACCGGAACTGCCATTATAAGCGCGTCCCAATTGCTAGATCAACCTCCCTACAACGCTCATCCAAAATTAGTGAAGAATGTGCAATCTTTATTCTTAGCCTTTAGTTTTGGTTTATTGATATATTTTGATTGCGTTACGTATGATATATGCTTTTATTGTTGTAACTTTTTTTAGAAATGTATATATTTTTTTCCTCTCACACGCACCCCCCCCCCAAAAAAAGTGCTTCATATTACACCCTACATAACTTACACTGTACCTTTGTTCCCATAATGGCCATTGTAGAGACGCTCCACTGTATGACGTATGAAAGGTTTAACCTAACTATATGTGTTTGCGCACTGCGAATTGTGTTTGCGAAATACGACTAGTAGTAGTGCAATTCTGCCACGAACAGGCCTCAAATATTTTTATTTTATTTTATTTTATTAGCTTTGCCCTGAAGAATACAAAAAAAATGCTGCAAGCAATTTGTACATGCTTAACAAGCTTACCGCTTATTCAAGATAGAGGAAAAAAGAAAGATGCCAGGTTTTCTATAATCTAGAAAGTACAACTGAAAACAAAAATCTTGAGAGGACAAGAGTGAATTAAAAAAAAATTCACAGTCTAAGCGCTTTGTACTTCTTAATAAAAAGAAGTCAAATAGAGTTGCTATACAATAGATAACGATAAACAAATCAAAAAACCTGTCATCGTTGTTTGCAGGTTGTACGGTATACACACCCATTCCTTCGATTTGTCCACCTCAGTGTCAGACGTCATGTTCAGAAGTTTGCCCTTCAACTTGTTGCGTAGCAACACCTCTGCAGCAATTAACAGTATATTCGTCCCCGGTGTCCCCGCTGCCAATGTCTACGTGGTGTCCCTATCCGTGTTCATCATCGTACATGAAACGTAAAGATATCCTGTGGAAAAGAAAATACCGTAACTTACGTCGAGGACGGCATACCTTACTGAGTCTCAAACGATCATTTTCAAGCAAGGCAAGCGGAGATATTACGAAAAAGCAGTCGAGTCAGGCATACCTGGGCGACACACAGCCGCTTAACAACAAAAACTAAAGATTTGCGTGCCACCAAAAAAAGGAATTTTGGCTAATTAAAGACTGAATCACCCTTTTAAAATCCTTTATTCTAAAAGCAAATAGTATTGCGCATATTATTTTAAAGGAACTTTAGTGAAATAACTAAGCAGGTTTTGAAAACAGTACAACAACTAAATACTATAATACTAACAGCTTATTGTTGGAGAACTCATGTTAGTCCAACGTGAACGAGTCATTTCACAAAACTGAAAGCAAGTCATCTAAGACATCTATGAAGGCCTAACCCTGTTTAAGACAAAGCAACTCCATTTCATTACCTTGTTAAAGACAAGAGACCCTATTTTATGATCCTGATTCGTTTCTCTTTACATACAGAATTCTAATTCTGTAGTTTAAAAACTAGAATCATGGTATTATACTAATGAAAAAAAAAATTGTTAAATACCACGATGCAAAACGCTATATTATGGACAAATTTCACACACTTTTAAAGGACTTCCCGTCTAAAAAGACACCATATTCAAACATTAAATAGTGAAACTGTATGTCCTGACTCAAGAACATGAAAAGTATACCTTCAGCTGCTCATACCCGTTTAGTCCAAATAAAGGAGTGCCCCCCGGGACGTCAGAAAGGAACTCTCTCGTATTAGATTATAAGGCAGCAGTCTTAAAAACCTGTCAACTAGAGGATTTTTTCGTAATGAGTATGTTGCATGGTACGCAGCAAGCAGGAATCGGCCTTCGGATCTTAACATCTACAGCAAAATATAATCAACATTTTCTGCAACCACTGATCATCCTGCTGGCACAGAAGACCTTTCCTAGTCTGCTTTGCCTTTAATTAATTTGAAATGCTTGTAGCTGTTAGCTGCGTTAAGTAGAGTGTAATAAAATTATGAAACGAAATGCCTCAAAATAGCCATGATCTCTTTTGGCCAATCCATGTCTTCAAAACATATTCGATGTAAATATGTTATGGGTAAAGCCGTAAAGGTCCTTACTTTACAGATCGATGTACGTCGGTCACTAGTAACAGTACTCAAGAAACTGAGTCGAACCTGATTAGTTCGACGGTGCATTATTTTACCCCCCTCTCTCCACCGGTACTCTGTTTTACGGGTATTTAAAGCTACACGAAATGGAATGGAGATGAAAATAAAATGATTTAAGGTCACAGATGAGAATCGAACTCGAACCTCCCGCACAGAGGACCGTGCACCAACCGGCTGTGCTAATCCTTGTTCCTAATATAAAGAGTTTAGTTTATCGTTTGTCTCACGATTGTCAATTTGATATTGATCGCTACGTTTCGACCGAACACTGCAGATCTTCATCAGGTGATATTGTCGATTTACTGAGTCGGACTATTTGTTAACCACCGTGGTCATTAGTGATTGGTGTATCACGAACCTCTCTCATGGTTGGTGGGTTTCGATCCAAAGCATGGTTGGTATTGTCACAAGAGGAAACTGATTACTCAGCGGTTCCGGTTGTGGTAGCGATTGGCTGTTATGTTGTCTGATTGTAGGCATCCTTGTTCTACTGTTCTTCTGTTTTTTTTCTCTGCTTGCCTTTATAATAACCTTTTTTTAGTATAAATGAAGACTTGGATAAACAGCTGTATGTTGTTCCATGTACTTATCATTGATTGTTGACAAACTATTTAAGGTTACCAGACAAGTTTCCATAACACTAGGTGTGGCTGGATTAAAGCCAGTTGACCACCCAAAACCCGTGTATTTAATGTTAAAACCAGAGCATTCAGACTAACAGATAGTAATTTTAACAAGATGTGCTTGTCTCAGCAATTTTGTACACTTACAAATATACATGCTATTCACTTTTGCAGTCATTGTCGTTTTATGCTGTTTATTAATCATATGTTATTAAAGAACCAATGAATCATTGAATAGAAACAGGACTAGTGACCTTTTGTTTTAACCAGAGAAAAAAGAAAAATAGTCTCCATAAAAGGTTTGCAAGTGAAAATCGTTTTCTAAACAAACCAGAAATCATTGGCGTGAGATAAGATTTAATCAGATCAACAAATCTGGGGAATCTATCGTGGTTCTTGCTCCTAAAGGTGGGTAGGCTACAATTCATTTTTCCTGTTTTTATCTTATTAATAAACTTTTCAAATCACTTAAGTTTAAATACTTTTTTACGATACCTTTTTTAAATTCAAGATTACCTCGTTAAAGTGATTTCCGATTACTTTTGATTCGAAAAGCAAGTTAGAGCAGGTTCTAACATTAGAACATCCAGAGAAAGAAACCAATTATGCAAAGGAGCTTTTTTCTTTTATCACTGCTATGAAAGCTGTGAACATGAAATCTTATTTCAAAAACTACGCGATAAAATTTGTATGATAAGATGCAAACTTGGTTGTTTTGGTCATAACCTCTCGAGCGGAAACTGTAAACGATGAAGATACTAAAATGAGAATGACATTCTAACGGTTTTTCGTTTCAGCCCAGAACAAAATTATTAAGAGAAATAAAATTTTAGATTATATTTACAGTTAGATACGTATTTTGCTCTCTATTTACTTCAATCCGAAAAATTCCAGCAAAAAATTGTTTTAGTAGATTACTTAAACGGTGTTTTGCAGTGACTAAAGCCAATTACGTTTCTAAGCCATAAGGATATCGTGATCCGTTGAAACCATGGAATTGAACAAGCTTATCAAATTTGACTAGTTCGTCAGTAATGCTAAAATTTAGCAGTTTTATGTTTTAAAGGACGTTTTGGACAGCAAACATGAGGTACCCGTTGGCATGGGCTTTAGCTGTCACTTCGTCAGTCCTCTTCCTAGGTAAGTTTTAGCGCGGCCCTTTGGTTATCTATGCATCCGGCCAGCAAATTTTGGCTCGAACAAAAATGTCCGTCTATACTTACGTCCATCCATTTATGTTAGCGAGTGTGAAATGTCACACTTTCTTGCTTGGAGACCAAGGCACATACAATCTGTGTTCAACTTTATATTGGACATCCATGCAAGGTTGATTGGACAGCTATTGATCCATGGGTAATTCATTTGCCGATAGCTGTCCGATCAGCCTTTCTTTCCCCCAATTTAAAGTGTTATTCTATGTTACCGGCTGATCCCGATCGACTGCACTAAGATCCGGCTTTCTCTCGCTGCTGTTTGTCCAAGTGGTCTACAACAACGACAACTAACAATTCTTCTGTTGGGACACTAATATTACTAAAAATATTCTTCAACGCCAACAGTTCGTTGAAAGTTTAGCAAAGCTTTTGGAGCCCATCTGGATCCCTTCATCAGTGATGACGATTATTGGCCAGGAAAACCATCTGCTTTCACCAAGATACGCGAGTTCATAAACATTCATACTTTGCGACCGGAAATGAACCGTGATCAGGGCTACAATCTTCCCTCAATTTATTGAACAATCAGTTGCAGCCTCATCAAAACGAGGCCGCAATTAACAGCAAATGTCATCACTGATGAAGGTATCCGGATGGGTTCCGAAAGCTCTGCTAAACTTTCAAACCGTACAAATTCAACCAGTAAGAGAACTGCGATGGCTAATGAAAAGAAAAGAAGAAATTCCGTGTTGCATAAAATGATACATTGCGATTAAGCAAGGATGTCTAGGAGCTAATTAAAGTAACAAAAGTCTTCGTGCTAGCGACTTCCGGTAGCTATACAATGATATCTTTCGCTTATCCATGTTATCGTCAATTGATAGCTATCCAAATAGGGTATCTGCTGACAAGTGTCACATGACTGTATCATGTGCTCAGGTGCACAACTCATCGACTTGACGTGTTTTTTTAGTTCTCAACTGATCAATCAAGGATTGCTGGTTTTTAATTGATCGCAGGCTGAAGTCCATTTTTTTGTTTACTTCTTGTTTTTGGCGAAGTTGAATTGCTTCAGAAAGACCATTTAATTTTTGAATGATCTTCGCTTTTGGCCTTAACAACCTTAACTAAATCATATTAATATTTTCCTGAAAATTCACTTCAAATTAGAAAATACAAGGAGCCCATGATTAGTAAAAAGATTTATTTTTTGTATCATATAAGGCAACAGCCTTGTCTGATTTCTTTCCAACTGATTTCTTTTTTTATTATTATTATTTTCCCAGGAACAAACTGTGTCTTCGGTAGGTAGCACGCTTGACTAAGAATACCTTGCTAACTCTCTCTTAAACTGAACGAAACTGACTTTTGTGCAACTTTCTTGAATTAATGTTTCATAATTTTCTAACACCTGAATGTTTTTTTTTTCAGGTCAGTTTTCCAGCGTAGGTAAGAACATAAATTTCTACCTCATTAGTTTTTTCTTTTAGGTGAGATATGCGAATGCCAAAAGGGAGAAAAAATTACAATAAAGAATAGTTACTATCATGAAGTAAGCACTGTGGAAGAATTTAAATTATATATCTGCGGCGGTTGTCGCAAGAATTTTCTTACACTCTTCACTAAATCCTACTTCTCTTCTCATGCACCTACCAAACTGAGAAACTTACGGCGTTGACGTCAGTGAAAACATGACTGATAAAGTGAATTCATGTTCTTTAAAAGCTTTATCGCCTTTATTTCAACTCGCTAAACATGCAGGCGGATTCTCCGGGAGGTGAATCGCATCTTCTCCGATCTCTGGTAGGTCCTCCGATCTATACTTCGTGGCATCGGAAACTTCCACGTTTTAGTCGTGAAGTGACCGCTCTGCATGCACGTGCAAAATTGTTTATATATTTCCCTGGGAAAAAAAGCATAAAAACAGTTAATTAAAGTTGAATTAAATATAATTGTTTAATTCTTTTCTTCAGTGACCCAAGGGGTGAGAGTAAAAAGAGTAGGATGTTTTAAAGAAGACCCGGCGAAAAGAAGCATAAACACTCTTCTCTTCAGCGACTTAAAATCCATCCGATCGACTGCAAAGGTGGATTTCAAAAACTTTGGACGTTACACTCAAGGCCTCATAAGTCGGTGCGGAGCTGCTGCTGCAGCCAAGTCTTTCCTGTTTTTCGCAATTAACAACATAGGTAAGCACACTAGAAAAGGACTTTATAATTAATTTATGAAACTGGCTGCCGATTGGAAACTGTGAGATAGACATCCAGATTATAACCCTCTTCCTAAAAGACCGATTCAACTAATCCAGGATAAATTTTTTACTCCACAATCGAATTTACTTTTCTTTAATAGATTATCCACGCTAAGTTTACATGGCGCTGATCAAGCAATTTTCGTTCAGCTGAAAAATTTGACCCGACGTTTCGTTCACACTGAACCGTTCAATATTTCGCTCCGTTGACGGGGAACTGACAAACCAGCTTGAATAGACCAATTTTGATATATTTAATATATTATTATGGGCAGTTGGTAAAACCACTGATAAAAGTTAGAATATTGCAATTTCGATGTATTAAAATTCATTTTTGGCTCCGAGTCTTGGGAGAATAAAACAAAAGACAAGTTGTATAATTCACTGCTGATCCTCAAGCTGATTTCTTTTGTTTTATTCCCCCAAGCCCCACAGCCAAGTATGAATTTTAATATATCGAAATTGCAATATTTTAACTTTTATTAGCGGTCTTACCAACTGCCCATTCGCAGAGGGCAACTTCAGCAATTCCAAAATGGCGTCACCTAGCTGAGTTACTATACGTATCCATGTAACCACGCCTTTGCCTTACAAAAATTTAGGCCTAGTTCAGCCGCCATACTTTTCATGTGGCGTCTGAACCGGGCCTCAGACGGTTATGGCGTTCACACGCGAAGGTCAAATTTTCAAATGAACATTTGACCTCGGCGCACGAATTTTCCCGCAGCCGGTGGAAGAAACGTCGGTGCCGCGTGAACTAAGCTTAAGAGTTTCTTTTAATCAACTTTATTAGCAACTTTAGAGAAAAAAAATCTTACATAAGAATGTCAGACATATTGTGCGCACAGACAAAGGTATTATATTTACTACCGAAGAAAGTTTTACTGAATAGAGAAGATTTGTTTGAGCCGGCTAAAAGGCATTTTCATTTGGAATGAGGGGGACGCAGTCACATCAAGCTAAGAGTCTATTTTAAACCAGGAGCCCATGGGTTATGGGCTCCTGTTTAAGCTCAATAATTAACTTGGATATAATTTCGGATGCAATAGCTTTCTTATGCATTGTTTTGGATGCGTACTAGTGGTACTGTTTTACATATAACAGTGGAAGATGCAGTTCCTTTATCTGTTTATAAGTCGAATAGATTGATAGTTACAGTTAGTAGATTGAGAAAAATCTGTAGCGAAGTAAGGCTAACTTAGCCTTGATTAAAGTATCATTTGACTAAACAATATTGGAACTGGGGGTAAAGGCTCCGCAACAATGAATAGAGTTTCTTCAGTGACCGTTCCTATACAAGAAAATTTAAAAAACAAATTGGCTTAAGGATTAAACTTCAGCATCTTTTTATTTTTTTTTCTATAAGGTGAATGCTACTCAGGTAAGGTGTCCACCACGTATGCCTCAAAGGGATCCTCGACAGATTGCAAAAACGGTGGAGGTACAAAGTGTACGGGAACCACGCAAGATTGTGTTGGTGGTAGTCCTAAATCAAACTATGTGTACAAGTTAGAAAGTAAGTTTCCCGCCTAGAATCGTGTCCTTCCTCATTTTGTTCGCCCAATAACTTTGTATTTCGCTATTTTCACTGGATGAAACCCTTTACTTACTATCAACAGATATTCTGCTTCCAATTCGATTCAGGTTATTGTTAGCAGACAGATTTTAATCCCAGAAAATATATTTTTAAAACGTCCCCTTACCATTTTTACATCAATATCAACATTAAGCTTTTCCTCTCGGTCGGGCTGATTATCTTCGATCAGCGCACGCTAGTGGTTATTTTTTAAGTAAAGATATCAAAGTCTTTTTTTTGGAGTTCACCTTTCCACAAACAAACATTTTTTAACTTTAGAGCTTCCCAAGACTACGAAACCTACCGCAAAGCCAACAACGAAACCGGGTGGGACCACGACAAAGCCTACTACTCAGGCCGGAGCGGCCAAACTAAACACTCTGACCTGTAAGTTACATCACTTAAGATTTTATCTTTAGTTAGCAAAGATTTCCATAACGTTCGTGTCTTATTTAGGGTAGGAAAATAGGTTTTAGTTTCGTAAAAAATCAAAAACTCGTATGATGAGTCTACTGGGCGGGCTCTAGTGTATTAAATTTGCTGCTTTCTAGAACACAACGTAAGTTCTGCTGCTCATGCTTGCGGGCCTTTTTTTGAGCCTTACTCTACACGTTACAGCCTGCGGAATGCTCATATTTACAACGATACTAGGAATGTGTGTCTCGCAAACCCTGGCGAAACTCGGTTATATTAGCGCCGCTAAAGTTAAGCTGTGTCGGGCGAGGTTATAACAAGGAACTGGATAGGTTACCTGCCGCGAATATCCTGTCAAGAGAACCTCTACTTCTTTTCTTTCTCTTCTTCCTCTTCTTCTTCTTATTTTGTTCTTATTTTTATTCTTAAATGCGCGTATTGTAAAGCATATTTATCATTAATTCGGCCGCCGGATAAAAAAAGGAAAAACAAAAACAAAAACAAAAAACACGCCTTTGAAATGCTTGCAAACTCAACCTTGGTTCAAAGGGCGAAGTGCGAAGCTGAAACCAGTCTTTGATGCATCGGCGGGGAGAGTGCCGAGTTAATAGCAGGTTTGCCTTGTTGTAACATGAATTCCATGGCAGATTTCAGGGAAGAAGTGAAATTGTTGGTGAATTCTTGTGTTTTACTCCATTAATGAAGTAGCATCATACTTTTTTCAGAAACTAACCCGCTAAGTCAATTCTGTTCACCAGGTCAGAATTACTTGGTTGCCATAAAAATAACCGCCGGCGCAAGCGCAGGTAAGCCGCAGGTCCCAACTCCAGCAGGTGCGTCACCAAAACGTACTGCGAAAGGCCAGTCCACTAGACCCACAGTAGCAACACCAACGACCAAGGCTACACCCTCACCACAATCATCAATCGAGAATAAGGTAAGATTAATTCTACTTTATTATAAACGATAATTACCTGCACGGTGATGTTTTTTGTCGTAACTTTGGTTCTTTTGATAATATTATAAATTCAGTAACTTAAGAGTCTTTGAGAAATACGTCTGTTTAGTACGCGACAAAGGGCACTCGAAAAGGTTCAAGTTCTCACCTAACAGAAGTCGAATCTGTGACATCAGGATACTGGTAAATATTTCGTGTCTGGTACGATCCATTCCTTCCTCCACGTCCTTCAGAGGTTATATGTAAGCCAATTTTTTTGAAAACCAACCTAACAAAATTTTGCCGTCATTTGAGTGAAAAGGCGCCAAAAGACAGACTTTTGGGAGCGATAAGCTCCGAAATCACACTAACGAGTCCACTAACGAAGGAAACGGAAAGGAGGGGGAAAGAAGAAAGGAGGAGAGGAGAAAAAGCAATGGTTGCACTCTTAGTTTTTATAATGGCTACTTTGGCCGAAAAAAACTGTTGGACGCAAAGGGTCCATTTGGCGGTAAAGTTTTCAAAAATCCTGCTAGATGACATGTTTATACCATTCCTGAGGAAGGATCAAGCGCACAATGGGCACAAATAATGCGACATACTGCCTGTGGTAATCTTTGATTCATTAAAGTGAATTATTTAACGTAATATTTCTAGATATTAAAGTATTGGTTCTATGAAAAGTATTTGAAAAAAGAATTTTTTTTGAAAGTGTAATCAAGGAATTTTATCATTTGTTTTCTCGTTTTCTTGTTATGAAACAGGTGAGGAATATCTATAAGGGATACTCCTGTCTTGGCTGCTTGAAAACGGTCAACGCAAGGTAGGTAAATTGCTTACACTTTTTTCTACATGTATATAGTTTTGCAACACTACTAAGCGAAACAGTTGACTGAACAGAATCAAATTGTGTTATACCAAGTGCTTCGAATCCCCCATAATGCACTATGTTTGTTCCTCAAATTTTGCATTAAATATCATTAATACTCTTGGGGGACTACATATTCCCAGGAGAATTTAAGGACGATAATTTATGCAACATTTCGGGGAAAAACAGAGTATCGTGGAGAATTTGAAAATGCGATCTCGATTGACAGTAGGGGGTTGACTGGGGCCCCGTCCACACGAAGACGATTGTAAACGCAAACGCTAGTAAACGCATATTTTTATCTCCGTCCACACGAAAACGATCATCGTTTACGTAGCGTTTTAACCCGTCCACACGAAAACGCTCGTAAATGCATAAAACGATGTCATACACCGAAAGTTCTCTTTCCACTCTTCTGGTATCACCACTTGATCGGCAAAGTTGTTCCACCAGGCGCTTGTACGACCTAGTCTGGTCCAGAATCTTCTCTCTTTGCTCTCACGTCTGCATCTAAGTCGTTTTACTCGAGTAAAAGTGCTTTTAGTTGTGGATAACAATCTTGAGAGGTTTAGTCTTCTTCTTTTGTAGTTTTCCTGTGTATCGATTATTGCATGATTCAACTGAATGCTCGCAATAATGCTTGAAATAAGCGCAAGCATGACACAGCTCAACACTCGTGTGTACGCCATCATGGAAACGCACTCGATAAAAGAGACTGGCGCTGACATCTGACGTCAGCGTTTTCACATCGTTTACGAAAATATACGTTTACGGCCGTCCGCGCGAAGACGCATAAACGGCGTTTTCAAATTTATCCACTTTGGAGAGCGTTTTCGAATTTATGCGTTTACGGTGAGCGTTTTCATCGTCTTCGTGTGGACGGAAGGCCTAAACGCATAAAAAAGTTTGCGTTTACTAGCGTTTGCGTTTACAATCGTCTTCGTGTGGACGGGGCCTGGCTTCGAAACTGAATCTTGGAGTTAGCTTTTTCTCAGTGTTGGTATTAATCCTTACATTTTGACTTTGGTTTGCACCAGTGTATGTCTTGAATCTGCCAAGCCTCGCAACTCTTATATGTGAGACTACGGTCTTCAAGGTCTTGAAGGCCTTAATGACTTCAAATCTCACTATTGGTTTTTTTCCCTTGGGCTAATTTTCGCAGAGTTTTAGTCTTTACCTTTTTCTTGTTACTTTTTAGTTCTTCGACGGTGTTTCTTGTGCTGAAATTTGCTTGCCAAGGACAACATTTGAAAAAACTTGTTGCTGGTCTTGGGGCCAGCAACATTATCAAAGCAGGTATGAGCTTTCGATTCGTTCCTCTTTTTTATCTTGTTACAAAGGAGAAAAGAACAATTTTTTCTCTCTTTTTCTATTTCAAGTTTATTAAGCACTCATCTGTTTTTTATTTTTTATTTTTTTTATTCTGACTCACCACGGTCGCGAATCAAGATATAGTTCTAGCCGACCCAATACCAATTTGGCTAAAGGAGTCCCTTTAAGATAGACGGGGGCAACAATCTCTGATTTTGCCTCTTTGCATGCAAAATTTATTACTTTTTATTTCACTTAGAATGCTACCCGCCAGCTTGTGCATACTCAGGCTCAATGTACCCTTGTACTTCTCCCTGTGGGATGTCTACGTGCTCCATGTCACCATCAGTACCATACCCACAAGCTTGCCAGTCGTCATATCCAGCGCCTGCTCCGTACCCAGCTCCCGTCCCGCCTCCCGTCCCGTCTCCACGGTGCCCAATGTCCTGCCCGTCGCTTTGTGCTCCGGCATGCAGTTCCTTCTGCTGTCGCTCCTTAATAGGCTACAAAAATAAGACTGGGATATCAGCCAAGAAATCGTCTACTTTTAATGCTGATGATTTTGAGGATGATGATGACGACGACGAAGACGACGATGATGATGTTAAAGACAGCGATGACAATGATTTCGACGAAACCAGTTAAACCGTGAAAAACAATGCAGTATTTATTGCTCCCGTTTTATAGACAGTCTAGCAGGATGCTGCATCCGTTCTTGTCTAATTGCTCAAAATCCGCCCCCTTCGTACAATAAAATTATAATGGCTTGTGTTCCAAAAGTATGGAATTATCAACTGAAAAAGAGAAGTGCTTTAAAAATTCAGCTCTAGAACAGCCATGACATTTGACGGTTTACGTTCTATCTAAAATTACTCTTGGCACAATAATTAAATGGGCAGATGAAAATTGAATTCTTTAAGTAAAGTAAAAAGATTTGGGATATCAGTATATGAATGTGTACTGAGTTTTAGGTATTAGAGGAATTGAAATTTAGAGGTTGAATTTTTTGACTGAACGTCGACGAAGTATGCCATTTATTAAGCACATAATTTGTCTGATATAGACTTTTCATGAATTAATTACAGTCATGTTTTGATTTAATCGGCGGTGACCCCATTTAAAGTGCGCGAATGTAAATAAACATGAGACTTTCTTTGAAAATATAAAAAAGCTTCGCTACGTCATTTTAGTAGCAGACTTAACGGGTGTGCCTTTTTTTAATCCCTCTGCAAAAGTCATACAATACAAAAAAACAAGTATAACAATAGTAGTGTGGTAATAAGGGTTCTAGGACAGGGACCCGGCGAGTGAAAAAATCCCATACAAATCCTTGTAATTTCTGGGACAGAGGACCCGATGAAAATAGACGGGATCCTATAAGGACCCGTCGATCCGCCCCATATAGTCGTCCCTTGTAGTCGTCTACCCATCTCATATAAGTGTCTGATATAGGTGTCCATCATATAGAACTAAATTGTCATGTGTGTATTTTTTAGCGTTCGTTCATACATTCCTTTTATTGTGTGTATTTCTCAGGCAAAAGATCTACCAACATATCCCATATAGTCTCCTTCCATATAGGTATCCCACATAAGTGTTTCACGAGGGTACTGGCGCAGAGGACCCCTCTCCCTTTTCAATTTTATTTCCCTCCTCAATTTTTTTCTTTTTCCCTTCTCCACAATTTTATTATTTTCCCTCCTCAATGTTTTTTATTCCCCTCCTCTACCTCCACCTCCTCATTTATTCTATATATTTTTCCATCCACAAATACATCGACCTCCTAGCGACTCTACATCGACCCCACATCGACCCCACATCGACCCTACATCGACCCCTCATCGACCCCATATCGACCCCACATCGACCCTACACTCAACTTTTTTTTTTCTTTTTAAACACATTTCGCCTCATTTCTATTGTTTTCCCTCCACCACCACCACCACCACCACCGCCACATTTCTATTGTTTTCCCTCCACCACCACCACCACCACCGCCACATTTCTATTGTTTTCTCTCCACCACCACCACCACCGCCACATTTCTATTGTTTTCCCTCCTCCTCCTCCTCCTCCTCCTCCTCCTCCTCATTTCTATTGTTTTCCCTCCAAGTTTGGCCTTTTAGGCCTGATTTTGGCCTTTTTGGCCTTTCGAGGGAAAACAACAGAAATGAGGAGGAGGTGGAGGAGGAGGAGTAGTCGGAGAAGAGAAAACAATAGAAATGTGGCGGTGGTGGTGGAGAGAAAACAATAGAAATGTGGCGATGGTGGTATATAGTTTCACTATTTACGAAGCAGTGTTAAAAAGAAAAAAGTTGAGTGTAGGGTCGATGTGGGGTCGATGTGGGGTCGATGAGCGGTCGATGTAGGGTCGATGTAAGGGTCGATGTGGAGTCGATGTAGGGTCGATGAGGGGTCGATGTAGGGTCGATGTGGTGTCGAATTTTTTTCGCCAGGTATTTCCTTGCAATAATTTTCTTCCCCTCGAAATCAGTCTGCACATTATTTTTTTCTGAAAACACCCATACCCCACCTCCCCCCCTCAAAAGTTAAATGGTCGGCCCCTTAATTAGTTCGCTAATCAGCAAAAATGTCAACAATGATGTCAGCAAGGATTTGTCCATAAAGCAGTTCGATCATTCGATTTTGCTTTGTTTTGTTTGTTTGTTTTTTTAAACATAAATTAAACCCTTTTATTCGCCCTGATGAAGGGCTTTTGTGGCGCTGAAAAAGTCAGTTATTTTACGTTGGTAAAAAGACTGAAAACCATCAACTCAGGCTAGATTTACACTAGAGGAGATTTCCTCGGATTTATAAGTGGTTCTCCCTTTATTACATTTTAGTTATTAAGATTTGCTGGCGTTTTCAATCGGAAGTTGGTAAAAACATTCAAATTCAAAATGTTCAGTTTAGAGTCCGCATTCAAAGTCTCGAAGAAGTGCCCAAGGGGGAAGGTTTCTCTTCGGATCCACGAATGAATCTGCTAAGTCAGGCAGCCAGTGCAGCGCCGAAATTATAATTGTTCTGGGCCCCCACCTGTACTGACCATGTACCAAGTTGGCTTGTGGTCATACACGCAACTTTTGCGAAAGCAAACGAAGGCCTGGAAAAATTAAGGCTTTTACGGGATTGGAACCACTGACGTCTGTGAAAGGGAATAGAAAGGATTCAACAAATAATGAAGAAAAGTTAAGTAGGTGCTGTCTCATAGAAATTGTGGTGTTGCGTCGCGATCGGTTTGGGAGTGAAACAATGAAATATGATTTTAATAAATCAATGATAGAATTGAACAGATTGATATTTTTTCCCCTGCAAAGAGACTCCAAAAAGGCTTATTCGCCAAACGAAGGGCTAGCAGTCGAACGTAATATTTCTGAACATCTTTACGGTGACCATTTTACAGTTTCTCTCATGTTTTTAAATAAAAATTTTATTTTAGTGCTTTTAATTGTGCCTAAATAATCTTTGAACAAAATTAATAAAAGCTAAACGAAGAAATGCAGTTTAATTGCAGCAGAAGACATCAAGCGTTAATAACAGAGGCATTACTTGCTTCTTGTGTCTTACACCTCGTGCTGACAAAATGTCAGAGCGATCCAATTGCCAGAGAGGTCCATGAACGACAGGTTGGAACATGGTTAGACCATAAGATTAAATATGAATTAAAAAGAAATTGTTAGACTCAAGAACTGGCCAGGAAACATTTATTCAATTCCATCCTGTTTAGCTTAGAGTACTGCTATAACAAGAACGGTAAGTAACTGACAGAGGCAATTAGGCGTGAACAGTTCTAGTTTTTTAAAGACTAATTAAATCGGTTTAACGAAAATACTACCACTCAATTACTAGTAAGGCTTCAAAATAAAAAGGATCTTTTACCACCAGATCTTTTATCAACAAAACTAAAAGAACGCTAGTTAAAAAACACTTCAATTTTCACTGCAAGAACTATAACGGACTTTTCAAAAAAGCAGTCTAGAAAGCGCCAACGTGATACTAGTTTCCTCATTGTTATGCACGTGATTAAACCAAAACGTCTCTCAGTTTAGTAATTGCTTTTCAAGATCAATTTCATGTAGTTTACTCTCACAAAATATCTACTAATCCTGAAAATCGACTACTAGGCTGTTAATTTCCCATAGCAGCCGACGTTAAATGTCAGTAATTGGCTCTACTGTGGATACCAGTATGTTATATAATAAGTAAAAGTTGGAGGGCTTTGAAAACACCCGCGCCTATGCTTATGTCATGTATTGACGATTAAGCAAAACATTGGTTTCTTCTTCAGTGCCAATAGCGATTTTCTTTAACTGTTCGGCATAGTTCTCAGTATACCTGAGAACGACTAAAGTGTTCTCAATACAGACCACTCTCTCTGAGAGACGTGAAACTAGCGGTTACCGTAGAAACATTATTTAGTAAAATGAATTAATTCTGTCCATATTACTTCTCTATCAGACTTGCCAGACACTGATGATGATTCTTCAAATATTATTTCAATTTATCTGGATAGCTGTATTCGTGAGCAGAGACGTATCAGGTTCTTATGGTAAGCAGGTCTATATTAGAGCTAAGTTACCGGCCCTGGGCGTTCTCAGCAACTGTGTAGTTAAACAGTCTTTTTACGTTTGAAACTTTAAGGTTATGTTCACACTATACCTGATAGTTTGAGCGACGCCACGAAAGTCATAGCAGATAAGGCTTCTGTTCACACGCTACAGCGGTTGTGGTGGCGCGATTTCTCTGACGGAACGAAGCTGCTTAGACTTTCCAAAAAGTCCTTTATTTTTTTTTCCTGGTTGGTTATGCCAGACTTCGTCGCTCGCTCGATCACTACGGGACCTCATGCATTGAAGCTCGCTTCGCTCATTTTTAAGAACTGATGAGAGGTCGACTTTTAGCAAGTCTAGAGGCTGCTTCGCGCCGATCTCGAAAGTGGAGCGTCAGATATCTGAAAGGGTTTTTCTTGGTGCCAAGAAAAGCTATTCGGTTGAGCGTGAACATAGCCTAACCATGAAAAAGAATAAAACCAGGGATAAAAGTCGAATTTCGAATAAAAAGCCTTCCCTGCAGTCTCAGTTCTCACTTAAGGAAGTGGTAAGTTCTACCCACTTCCTCTCGTAATGGTCAATGTGGGGGCATTTGTGAACGGTTTGACTCCAGGCAAGAATAAGAAAAATACTAAGAGCTTTTTATAACTGAAACAAAAATAATAAATCAGGTAATAATAAGCTCTTTATTTGAGTGTCAAGGTATTTAGCACGAAAGTACTTAATGAGGAATTGCAAAGGGAGCACCTTAATTTCTCAGTTATTTTAAGACCCTGAGGATTGGTCCGGCCCCGGGAATCGTACCCGCGACCTCCCGCTCTGCGGTCAATCGCTCTGCCGACTGAGCTAATCCTGACGCGGTTAAAGTCAAACTGCCCTTACTTTTTGCCGCAGAAATTTGCTTTCATTTTCTTTTTTCTTGTCTCTTTTCAGACTGCCCGGTCAAGTATACTCGAGTTGGCTGCTTCGACGACTCCATGGTACAACCCCGCCCGTTGTCTCAACTACTGATGACTGATCGAGATCCAACCAGTCCTGTGTACAGTGGTATCCCTGTTCACTGGGGAATGTGGGATGTTTATTTCCCAAAACTGATTTGCAGATGTGCTGCGAAAGCCAAAGCTAAAGGATACAACGTCTTTGGAATTCAGCATTACGGTAGATAGCTTTTACGATAACTTCTTAGTGCTGATAATTGCAAAATTTTTGATCTGTTCTTGTAGATATCATTCCATCTATTTTCAAAACATCATCTTTTTAATCTGGAAAAGTTATGTCAATTTCACTAATAAAAGTTATTTTTGGAGGTTGTATTTAAATAGGGCCGAGTTGGTCAAAGCTGGGTTAAGATAACCCAGGGTGATATATCCCATAGCGATATTTGAATTCAGATATGAAAGCTTAGAAAGCATTTCAGTTTTAATTCTTTTTGTCTACAAGTTGATGATTGGAAGCTCTAAAAATGGCACAGAAAATTATCCGGGAAAATGCTTTGGAACACAAGAAAAAGAATCCTGGGTTAAACTTAACCCCGGGTTAAGCGCTAATCGGCCTTCGAACAACTGGGCCCAGAAGTCTAATTTTATGGACGTCCGCGCAGTTTAATCGATCGTTTGAAACGTCATCAAGTCCACGAGCGACTGCCTCAAGGCAAACAATGCAGAATATTGTAATGGCGACAGTCCACGGGAGCATAATGTTCCAATATTATCTATTACAGCACAGAATACAAATTTGCGGACCTCTTCGGAAGCCACCTTCCGATTAATTTCAAATGTTTAATTGGTCTAAAAATAACTTTGATGACACATTTCCCAAGGGCTAGACCGGTCGTTTTCCTCTCTCTCCATTTATTATCGCTTACTAAAGCTTAAGTTTAATCTTTTTCCTTACAGGGGAATGCTGGTCAGGTTGTGGAAGCGAAGACACCTATTCAAGGGATGGTAGCTCCAACAAATGTATCACCTATGATTTTAACAATTGTAACCCACAACATAAGGATTGCGTCGGAAAGAATCACACAAACTTTGTATATACTTTACATGGTAAGCAACAGCGAGTGAATGTATTTGCTGGATTATATACTGTTATTATAATAGGAGTTTCTTAGATTACCAAATAATAAGTATAAAACAGCAAACTGACCCTTACGACAGGAAGAATGAGAGAACAAAAATAAAGAAAGAATACTGAAATAAATGGTGAATTATGTAATTCACCACGTACATTTTATATTTTTCTCACTCTTCCTGCCTTAAGGATCAGTTTGCTGTTTTAATTTGCAATTTGGTAATAAAGATTTCACTTATTCAGGTCTACAAAAAATCCAGCTCACCTTATTGGTTTGTTGCTGTGGTTCTGAGTGACAAGTGTTTCTTAAGTTTGACGATACAATACATGACTTATTTCAAAATTTGCTTTCTACGATTTCAGGTCTTCATCCAGAGTACGCAACCGAACTTAATTCTTTGACCTGTAAGTAGTTCGTTTTATTAATTAATTAGATTCTGGATCGGTTGGTCTTATCCTAACAGTCGAGACAGGGAAACTGTCCTAAAACAAATAACCGCTTTATCCCTTCACTGATTTTAGGCTGCGTCTAGGACATTTCAATGTAGGTTTTAACCCCGGTGGTGAGGAACTTGTAAGTCCGACCGCATTATCAGTCCGGTTACTTTAACCGTCCGATTTTAAAAAATGCTAAAAGCGATTTCGTCAGTTTATTTGTAAGACTCAGGAATAGACAGCGTGGGCGGCGTGAAGAGAAACTGAATAATTTTTAACAGACTTGTTTACACTCTTTCAATCAATCCAGACAGTTAACCCAGGGTACCCGTATTTATAGTGTTTATTTTAAAAGGGAACAAATGTAATTTACATTAATTGATTATTTAAACACATTCTGGTCTTCTCTACTGGTACTTATAAAGAAGTACCAGACTAGTTTGAGAGATTTATTATATTAGTTTTGGAGAGTGAAAATAAATAAAATGTTTTAATCGCTTTGCAACCAGGAATTGTTTGATGGATCGGAGTGTAAATTAATATACTTTTTTACTTATCAGGTCAACACTTCTTAGTTTCCATACGAACTGGCGCATGCGGAGAGTCAACATCTACAGAACATGCGCACTCGATATTAACAAAAGTAAGGAATCTGCTTATTAAAAACAACGACAGCACGCAATACTGATCAAAGAAATAATTATAAAAATTAATGTGGTTGTCATAATAATATGATAGTGATGATTATATGATGGAGATAACGATGATGATGATGATGATGATAATGATATTTATATTTAGTTAAGCAATAGACCACACTTTCTATGGGTTTACCGGCGTGATAACCCACGCGGGATGTTGGGAGAACACGAGAAAAGCTTGTAAATCACGAGCCGAAGGCGAGTGATTTACAAGCTTTTCGAGTGTTCTCCCAACATCCCAAGTGGGTTATCACGCCGGTAGACCCATAGAAAGTGTGGTCTATTGCGTTTATAAAATAACTTTTGGTAGAATGGAGTCTTTTAGGTAAAAAATATGGTTCTAGTACCGTGATCAAGTCACGTCTTCTCTCTAAAGTCATCGTAAGCCAATCATGACTCACGATTTAACAGCGTTGAACTTTCTCAAAACTCAGTTCAGTCAAACGACAAACAGCAGCACTTCAAAACACGAGTTTTTGCACTCATTACACGATAACTTATGAAAGCTGTTTTACAGGAAAAGCCAACACATATTCATGCGAACGTACAATGAAAGAATACGTTCATGGTTTGTTTACTACAGAAGTAGAAATTAATTGAACATCAGACTGTACGCAGCCGTATTTTGTTGAGTCGATCCGTAAGAATTTCGTTATTACAGACGGAACTGACAGCTATCGTAATGGAGGACTTCATTCACTTTTTACAAAGTAAAAAGCAGTCAGTGGTTTAAGATCTGTTTTCTGGACTTTATTATGATCAAGAAATGCTGCGGTAACGACGTGGCTGCATTTGCGAAGTTGTCGCATGTAACTTTGTATGCACGTACAGCGACCGATGGAAATATGTCAGTGGTGGAGAAAGGTTTCTTTGCCGTAGCCACATATTGACGTTAATATTTGTCGATTCGTGAAGTCAGGTGGTTCATGAGGTAGGTTATGGCATCGATATCACCGCATAATTTGTGCAAATGTTGGAAAAAACCAGCCCGAAACTCTGACATCTTTCATCATCATTGGCAGCTTGTTTACAACCTACAGTGGCCGATTTTGTACCATATCTTGATCAGGGATGTCTTTTTTGAACAAGTTCTTTCATTAAGGAATTTAATTTTGACATAAAATAAATCAAGATGCTAAAACTATCCGTTTTGTTGCTGGTTGGCAAATGGTTAAGTTCTCCTAGAGAATTTCTACACCAGAAATTCACACAGTTGTTGTCTTTCTCTGCGATTTGGCATCGTCGTGAAATGTAAACTGTTTTCCAGCTTTGTACTTTATAACTTCTAAAGCTATGGCAGTAGCGAATTGTGACGCTCAGTAATAAAATGTGGAAACCAACGCTTTTAATATTAAGAAGGGCTGGGTAAGTAACTTGTTCTGTTTTTAGCCTTTCTAAAGTCGTTGTTTGCAGATCGATAGCCGGTTTTGTTTATGGCTCGTGGTCTGGATGCCTTTTTCAATGGGTTTACCGGTATAATAAACCATAGGTTTTTGACCAATCAGATCACGCGTACTAAATCAGTTATTTTATAACATATACTAAAACAGTGGATAGTGTTTTTTTGGCGCGCTCTGATTGGCTACTCAAAGTCGGGATATCCAGTGCTATTCACTGATTCATCTTTAGCTCCTCCGAACGGGCGACGCCAAACTCGCGTAAGTTACGAGCAAAATGGTTTCCCGGTTTATTCGTTTATTGCCTTAACAAACAAAGTAATTTCACAAATAATCAAGTAAGCTGTTCCCGAAATACACGAAGAAGGTGACGAAAGTCGTTTTAGAAGCTTTAACAGGTAAAGCTTTGTCTGTTTGACTTGAATTTATCGATGAAACCGGTGAAAACGTCTTTTGTTTCCAAATGCAAATTAAGACTTTCGTTACGGTACTTTATTTGGCTGACATGTTCATAAATAAGCCTAAAACTAAATTCAATACTTTTTTTACAGAATTAATTCAAATACAAAAATAATTCATAACTCCTTTTGAAGAAATTTCCCCAAAATAGCTAAACACATGCCTTCAAAAGTTTTATTTGTTGGCAAGAAAACGCGACGGTCGTTCGGTCATTGACGCGACAAAATCGTAATCGTTGGCAGCAGTAAATGAGTTAAAAGCCATCATTTTTTTGTGCTCATTTATTTCACTGTTTTAGTATATATAACAATTATTCACCGAAGTGGAGGTGGCTGGATATTTACTGAGACCGCGAAGCGGCGAGTTAAATATCCACACCACTAGCCGCCGACACTGAGAAGGCACACCGGGAAGGCATTTTGCTCGCAACTTACTCCAGTTTGGCGTCGCTCGCTCGGAGGAACTGTGGGGTGAATCAGTGAATAGCACAGGACATTCACTGATTGAGTAGCCAATCAGAGCGCGCGAAAAACACTATCTAGTATATACTAAACTAAAATAACTATTCACCTCAGTGCCCGTGGCTAGTCGGGTATTTCTATTACCATATTCACTGAAAACTCTTCTTGAAGAACGGCTCTCCTGCAGGAGCCAAACAGATACGGCTAACAGTCGAGTTTACGGGTAAACTTCTTCAATTCGCATAAGAAGATCACGAAAGCAGCGCGATAGATTCAGGCCTCCGATTGGGCACAAATTAATTTAACTTTTGTGCCCAATCACAGACAAGCATTCGAATGAGTCGTGGAACTGGTCTGTTAAGAGTGGCATCCCAGGGGCTCTTTCTCCCGTACTTGAAAACTTTCGCCGCCGTTTTTTCCTGACCTAACTGACCGCCCCTGAGTCTGCGATGGTGGGAGACATCCTGAGCCAAATTACTAAAAGTTTTACTAAATACTTATTTCTTTTGTCATCAGGTGCAGGACATTTATAAGGGATATTCTTGCCTTAAGTGTTTGAAGATTGTAAGCGAAAGGTATATGTCGCCTCTAGTTTATAGCTTAAGGTAGATTTTAATTTTTATTTTGTTCAAAAAAACTCAGCAACTTTTGATCAAGGCTTAGCATCGTTTAGCATAGCAGGCGCGGATCTAGGACTGAAATACTGACTGATTTCCTAAACGAACGCCGAAGACGCAAGGTTCTAGGGGAGGTCCGAGGGGCATGCACCATGGGGAATGTTTTTGGGATTCTAAATCCCTTGAGTTACCTTTCCTGGGTTTCTGAGTCATTCAGACCTGAAATTGGCCAGATTTTAACCTGGAAAGCGGTTATTTATGAAAAATCTTTAGTTAGCGATTTTCGTAAAACGGTGGAAACCGGTGTGGATCCGCGCCTGCATGGAGATGTACTAAGCACCGTATCCTTGACATAATTCACGAGAAATATTGAAGATATTTTGATTCCGTTAAAGGTTACGTGTCCGCTTATGTTGGTAGATGAATCGGTGGGCGGAAGAGGTAGAGAGAAGAAAAGAAGAAAAGACTGCTCGTGTCTCCTTCCCTCCGCCCTCGACGGCCATGAAATGACGCCTATTATGTAGGCATATGGAATCCAAAAACAACAAACCTTTATTTGCATGACTATAAGTAATTACAGTATTGCAAAAGGGTAGGGACTAAAAGATCCTTATAGAATCCAGAATGTTCACGAATGGATAAGGATTAACACAGTCAGTTGGTTCGCAGCCTTGTGTGTGGGAGGTTCCGAGTTCGATGTTCTAGTGTGACTTCAAATCCTTGTTTTAAGTTTCTTCCTTTCTGTGCAGCCTTAAACAGAAGAGAGCTTGATCGAAGGAGGGGTAAAATGAGCATGCGCACACCACCGGCGTCAATGTGTGTCAGTCTAAAGAGAACTTTTACGAGTAACTTAAAATTTGAACGATTTGGAACTAAAAATAGCTTACCTCGCTCCAGCTCTTTGTTTATGTCGATGTTTATTGTTTTCAGCTCTTCGGCAGTTTTTATCGCCTTAAAATTCACTTGCCAAGGACAACATTTAAAGAAACTTGTCTCCAGACTTGGAGCCAGTAGAATAATCAAAGCAGGTTTGAGCATTTAGTTTTAAGCGATACTGAGGGTAAACTCACTATTTTCACATAGACCATAATGCACCTTCTTTACCCCTCAAAATTTTGCATAATCATTGTTTCCAATTTTTCCAATCGTCCTCACACTTATCACTGACATGGTCGACGTTATGGACTGCTTCTTATACAAGAGTTTCCCCTTCAAATTATTCAGGAGAAATGTACGTTAATAAAACTGCTTAAATTTCTGGGATCTTATCCAGATATAGTTATGGATAACTGTGTTTGAATGGTTGGATGCATTCTGCCTTTTGGCTTGCCAATTTGCGGATTAGCATTTGGTAAGAAATTGTTCAAAATCTATTTCTATCGTTGCTTTTCTATAAAAGGAACATGACCATACTCACAGAACTTTCTCCAAAGCAGAGTCGGGAACGACTTAGATTTTGTCGCTCGCAGTCTCGATATATTTTTTAGGCCAACTACTTTAACAAGGGAGTTATTATTTTTCTTGTTCTAGAATGTTCCACGCCACCTTGTCCAGTTTTCACACATCACTGCTCCTACCCATGTGGTACGTCCACGTGTTCCATTTCGCCATCTCTACCGTATCCATCAATATGTCCGGTACCACTCCACTATCCCGAGCTGACGTGGCCCGCTTCACAGTGTTCGCCGTCATGCCCTTCAGTTTGTGCACCTGAATGCACTCCTTTCTGCTGCCGCACCATGATTAATCGCCCAAAGAAGTCCAAGCAGTTCGCAGGTCAACTTCCTTCACAGCAACCTAAAAATTTAGAAACCGATGAACTCACTGAAGACAATGTGCTTTAGAAGGAACAACAGCTAAAAGCTTGTTTTTCAATCTTTCCTTTGATTTTTCTGACTCCTACTTGTTCAAAGAAAAATCGGGATTAAAAATTGACTTTACATAGCTGATTTGAAGTCTTCTTAATATTTTTGATTCAGTAAGAAACAATGAGTCAGTTTATTAAACGGAGCTTAGCCAGTGTTTAACAAAACCGCGTTCTTTTCCATTTTCAGTTCGCCCATTGCTTTTATCTTAACACGATTTATCGTGAAAAGGTTCATGAGAGCATAAGGCGTAGCTTGGAAAAAGCACTTTAACTTAAAATTTCTTAAAATTACCCACTAAGAAAGATATCTGGAGGTGCAAAGATTTGCTAAACCGCGGCCTAAGGTAGACTTCATTAAATAATCAACCCAATACGTTTATCACTTATTAACAAGTAAACTGTGCAGTTAGATTGAATAAACTGATAACCGTACCAGGTTTAACCAAGGACGTACCCAATATAGTCGGCCTTCAGGATATAGGAAAAATGATTACCGTGGAGTTGAGGACTAAAAAAATAGTTATTTAAACGGAGTTTATCCAGTGTTTTTTTTTTTTGACAAAACCGCATTCTAAGCCATTTTTAGTTTGCCGAACGCTTTGACTCATGTAAACGCCATTTTTTGTGAACAGTGTCATGAAAGTATATGGCGTATACTTGAAAAGCATTTTTCTTCTTAAAATAACCTACTTAAGAAGATAGCTGGAGGTCCAAAGATTTCCTAAACCACGGTCTTTCGTTTAAAAATTACCGACCCTTTAAGGGACAGGAGGATTTGGGCTAAACAAGGTGAAATTTAGCCCATGTGTTCATCTTCCAATCAAATTTGAGTGGTCCCCCCTCTGAATCCTTCCACTATTTATCGCCCCCAGGCGATAAATAATGACCGGTCCCTTAGATTCTAAGATGAGGACGAGATCTTCTCAGTATTAAGTAGTGCCCATGAGTGAAGCAGTCATCCAACTGCGGGTTTTAGCAAGAACGTCGTAGTGGCGGAAACAAATAAGTTACAAAATAAGACAAGAACGCTCTTATTAGCGTCGAGTCTCGCTTGCTTGGAGATAATTTTTTTTTCTCAGCTGGTGCTGTTATGCTACTTTTTCGTTTGGAATACCAAACAAGTGTTATATGTCATAATGTAATCAAAACTTAAAAGGCCGCACATCTTAACTTCACAAAGGTGTGAAGCCTTTTAAGAGCGGCGGTCAGGAAATATCGACTATCGAGTGGCAAGAGTTGAAAAATCGATTTCCTTCATTTTTTTGTCCATAAATAGCTTTTAGGTAGATAAGTAATCTGATGTACGTTGTTCTCGCAAAAAGCCTTTTATTTTCGAGAAAAGTAAGAATATCAGTTTTCGTGGTCGGAGTCTCAAAATGGCCGCATTTTCAACCCGAAATTTGCTAACATCAACTCTCCTCGCGTTCGCAAATAAAACCGCAAGGAGAAATTTGAACACTTTCCATCTATAGAACAACTCTTCTTCTTTCACTAGAAGATACTTTCAAAGCAATATCAAGACTCATTGAACTAACATAATTCAGAACAGGTTTCAGGTTTTTACGGTGACGAAAACTTTAATTTAGTAGTTGTTTTCTGCGGCATTTTTGTTCATGTGGTATAGCTCCAAATTTTCCAGGTCCTAGTTTATTCACACATTTAGACATTCGCCTAAAGCATACCTGAGAATGGGCTTGGGTTCCTTTAGGCAGCCTCCAAACGAACGCATCGAAGTCCGGTAAAAATAGTGAAGCGTGACCAAAATAACTTATTTAACGACTCCAAGTTTCCTCGATCGTAAAGTAACAAGACGAAGTATCTTCCTGTTCCGTCATCCTTAGCGAATCACCATTGTTAAAGTCCATATTTTTCGATAAAAAGTGAGTACCAGAAAAAGCGCGTTTGACTTTTCCTTCTTCAAAATACTGTCGGGATCGAAAATTATGTTACTCTTTCAAGAGCTTGCGTTGCGTTACTACCATGATTCGGTGACTGTCATTTTAAGCTCCGTCGTTATGTCACGTGCAGTCACGGAACAGATTGTCACGCAGACTCGCCGTCTGGTAGAGTTCAGTGTTTCAAAATGGCTAAAATTAACCCAGTTTCACCTTTTTATCCCACTCTTTGATTGGAAAAAGAAATTTTGCAATGGGAAAACCTACAAGAAGTACAAAAAAAGAGCCTTTAGGCTGTAAATATCTACTTTTGTGCGTTTCGACATTGGAAGTGTTTAACACGATTACCGCCGGCCTACCATGAAAATTCCTGAACTTCGATGGTGTCTTACGGAGATTACATTCAATAACCCAAGCCAATTCCCAGGTATGTTTTAAATGAATGTCTAAATGTGTGATTTAAATAGCATTAAGAGAATTTGGAGTTATTCCACATGTTAAATATTGCCGTCGAAAATGAGTAACGAACTTAAGTTTTTGTTATCATGAAAACCTATCCCTTATTTTTGAATTATTTCAGTACGACGAACTTCGCTATTGCCCTGAAAGTATCTTTTAGTGGAACAAAAATAATTTTTCTGTTCATGGAAAGGGTCCAAATTTCTCCATGCGGCTTCGTTTGCGAACGCGAGGAAAGTTAATGTTAGCGAATTTCAGGTTAAAAATTAGGGCAGTCTGAGACTCCGACATCGAAAACCGATCTTCTAATTTTTCTCACAAATAAAAAGCTTTCGGTAGAAACAATCTACTTTAGGTTTCTTATCTACCTAAAAGCTATCTATGAACAAAAAATAAAAGAAATTGATTTTTCAACTCTTGTCACGAAATTAAAATTTTGGTCGATTTTTCCTGACCGTCGCTCTTAAAACCCATTGATATTGCTCCAGCGAGGAGAACTCTTTCAGGGATTTTACTCTTGAAAAGTTGAACGATGATTTTTATCAGAGTGTCACTGTGATAAAGGGTTTCATTTTCCAAGAAAATTTGAGTGTGAAGGGGTAAAATATACTCCCGGCCTTGAACTTAAAAGAAGCCGAAGCACTCCGCCAAGTATAATTAACTAACTTGAGAACACACTTGACCAATGAGGAATGGAAGCCAACTCAGTGAAAAACTATTCTGTTAAGCGTACAGATGAATATTTTCTTAAAATTAACTTGCTACATTTCGCGTTGCAGAAACTATATTCATCGAAGTTTGTTCTTTGCCGGAAACCAAGATGTAAAATGCACCATTCTAGGGATGTCGCTTGTTTCTTTGTGTTATTGCCAAGTACTCGTTGATAAGGAAGTACCTATAATCCTTCCTTGGTCGGTTAAACTCGTTGAAGTTAAAAGTAGCGACGAAATAAAAGAAAACTAGAAAAACCTCTTTTCCGTTGCAATAAGGCTTCATGGTTTTAGTGGCTAGCAATCGTATATGTGATAGGTGTGACTGATTTTTAATGTCGCGAAATATGACGTACTTTAACAGCATGTACTTCAAGTAAAATACTTAAGTTTGTCAAAAAGTGTGAAGCCATTAGTTTTCTACTGAGTTATTTCATTGAAAGTTTTAAGTGCACTTAGCTAGAATCAAGTGATTACTTTAAACTACCTTAACTTCCAGTGTAAAGCTTACATATCTCACTGTCGCATATATAAGCAGGTTCTTTTTCTGGGGAGGGGTACTTCCTTATAAGAGGGTAATGGGGATGTGCCGCTGGATGGGGTCGTATTTTCATGACTGGATTGACTATAATAATGGGGTCACATTTTCAATAGAGTTACTAGAATGGGGTCAGCACATTTTCGGATTTTTTGGGGGAAGACAGTTCTTCATATTTACGGTTAGCAAATGTACCAGAATGTTTGTACTGCAGGTGAAAAGTATAAAAGTGTTCTTCATTCAATCTAAAAAATGGGCCAATTCATAAAAATAGAGAGTGACTAAGTTAGGATCGCGAAAATTACATATTTGCCCAAAAGTGACTAAGATGGTGTTTATAATTGGCCACAGAATACACTATAATGGGGTATGGGCTCTGAGAGGCCAGCGGCACATACCCAGCAAAAATTTACCCAAGTACCCCCCCCCCCCCCCGGGGGTTCCCAACCCCCCCCCCCCCCCCCGGGGGTTCTCAGCTCAGTTTTACGTTTTCTAATTCAGGTATTAAATTAAATTAATCTTGATTGACTGTCCTCTTACTGGGGAACATACTCAAGGAGAGAAAGCTGTCAAGGCACAATAAAGCGACATTGACGTATTTTATGCTTCAAATTATTTGTTGATGGATGAAAAGACACTTTACTTTGTTTGATTAGAAATGTTGGTCATGATGTGAGAGTAATGGACGTTTTACATTGAGGTCAGAGCTTTATTAGATATTTCACTGTATGGTGAATTATATATGCGATAACCAAAACATCGTTTATTTGACAATGATGGATAAACCACGGAGTAAACATTTAGCATATATCGATCAAAAGGAAATCGTTTAAAGCCGCAACACGTAAGTTGTTTGTTTGGGTCAAATTAATCACAAATAAATGTATCTTACGCGTATGCTTGAAAGCCTCATTTAACACGTGGAGAGTACATTACAGTGAAAAACCAATGTGTTTAAAGAAAACCGAGGGATAGACTATGGTAGACTAAACTTTGTTTGAGAGAAAAGACAACTCCATTACATTCAGTTTAATAAAGCAATAAAACAGGCAGTAGTGTACTAAGTTTCCTTTCGGCATGAGCTTTCTTCTATTTATCAGATTGAAAAAGGGAGTTAATGTGACATCCTATTAGATGTACCGGAACATGGCTGCCTCTCTTTCGCAAGAGCACTCATATATAACTTTTCTTTTGAAGAAAGAGGTCATATATCTCTTATACCCGATCTTTAAAGAACAGCAAAATCAGCTTTGTAATATAGTTTCGTACCCTTAAAATTGTTCATAAGGGTTAAAGAAACGCCTTAAACAATAAATTTGTCTTCACGGCGTTATCAATTTGCCAGCGAACTCATCTTTAATACAGAAAAGACAAATGTTTTGGGAATATTAAATTAAAAAAGGGAAGGACTTGAGATTAGTTCAAAAACAAGGCCACGAATTTATCTTTTTAATTTACTACAAGCTGAAAAATATCGTTTTTAAGATCGACTCATGGCTCCAGCTTGCACACATTTGGAGCAACTCGAAGCGGCAGCTTTTGGAAGAAGTGGATATAAAGGATACACGCACGATAACAGGTCGCCTTTGTTTTTGAGATTCTGTTAAAAGCCCTCAGAGGGCTGACTGACTACGTAGGATGCCGCAGTGTAGCATTGCTGGAAATATTTAAAACCATTTTATATCGAGATAATTTTAATTTTGTCCGTGGGAGTCATCCTCCTTGCGCTCATTTTTTGCCAATTTTCCGCCATCGGAAGCAGCAGGATTCACTCTTTGCGTGAACCGTTTCACCTTGCTATAAAATAAACAGGCAGGTATATCAATTAGCAGAAAACAGTATCTCACACAAGAACAGAATCGTTAAAAGGATACTAGATAACCTCTCACGAGAGCTAAGGTAGGTAATTTAGAAAAAAACTGTCGCTTAATTTGTTACCATCGGGAAAATAATATACTATCCAGTATCCATTCCAGTTTTTAGGTCTCTTTCCATTTTAAAAATCTTAACAATGGAACTGCGAATGTTCTAAACGTCCAAAGAGCAGTTAGAGTGACTATAAGATTTATCATTCTCAAAATGTAGTTGATATCTGTGTTTACATTTCCTATTTTCCCGACGGTAAAAGCCTTAATTTTTTCAATGGTTACATGGTGTCAGATTTCATTCAAACCATGCAGCTACTACCTCAGTAAAATAGAACGATTTTATCCTTGGATTTATTGGTTCATCTTCCTCTCACCCAGAAATTGTCTTTCTCGTAGACCAATAATGCTAGGAAACCGGTTAACCCTTCAATTCCTATGTGCACTTCTGCTCATCCTCGCTACATTTGTTAGCGACAGCGATGGTATATGGACTACTCGATTTGGCCGAAGTATCGTCAAAAAAAGAACTTTCCCCTATAGAGATATAGCTACTCTGATGGCGAGAGAACAACTCAGATCCTACAATGAATGGGAAAGACCCGCACTGAATGCGAGAAACATGGAATCAGAAAGGTACGTACTCCTTAGCACTCCTGAAAAATCTCGTTGGGTTTGTTTAAGCCACAAGCAAATAAATTCTGTTTAAAATTTTCTTTAGCTAAGGCAGGTAGGAAAGAAATTGACTGAAACTGGCCGGGGGTTTTGAAGTTGACTACGGGATAAAAAAAAGAAAAAAAAGATCATGAAAAGTCACCTCGTTTTTTCTATCACATTGGAGTGCTGAAAAATAATATGTCTTTCCTTTGTTGCTCAGGGGACATGTGCATCAGCGACGGTCGCGTAGTTTACAAAAAATTGGGGGAAATTTTCTTAATACTGGCCCTCAGGCTTTGCTATAGTCATAACTGACCGGGCGTTTATGCCTCAGTTCTTTCGCTTGAAAGTGAACCATTTGCTGTGAAGATTCAGAATTCCGTCAACCCATTTTAATCTTATGGGCAGCATGATTTAATAAAAGCATCCTTGCGAGTGTGTTTTGATCATGACAAATTCTTCTGTAGCTGAAGAATGTGTTTCCACAGTTAAATCAATTTTCCTGGAAAATACAGAAGTGTCTGGGAGCTCCTTGAGTACCGGCTGGGAGGTAATTACTTAAACTGCAGAATACTATGCAGACGGCTGATCACCAGATTCAATTAAGTCTCCTCGCTGAATTTTACTTCTGACTCTGAGTGCAGACTCGATCCATGAAAGTCATCTGTGAAAATCCGTGTCATATTGTTGGAAAACTTCTATGGACGAAGGCGAAAACCAAAAAAAAGGGTGACGTCACAAAAATCCAAGATTGTCAAATTATGGGATTGGTTAGCATATTCACAAAGAAAAAGCTGAAAAAAGCCCCTTGCCAAAAATGAGCCTGTTAGTGCAAATTGATGAGGAGATAAAAGCACCGGTTTGCTCTGATGACTCCTTACAAATAGCGCTAACCACCAGATAAATCACTATCCAGCGGATAAGTATCAGGGAAACCAATTGCGCTCTGTGTATCCGGTGGATAACGCTATCCACCTTTTGAGCAACTAGGGACAAGCCTATTTCAGAAGGATTTATCAGGCGTCATTGGAGCATAACGTTGCCAAGAGAGGATAAAGGAGACAGAGAAGGCATCCCCCATACACACCCTATTCCATAGGTAATTCGTCTCGAGTTATTTTTAGAATCGGGATAAAGTTACCTCGCACGCTGCGTGGATGTTTCGTGAAGGTTTCGCATGACTAAACGCCGTGCAAAACATGTCGGAAAAAAGGCAATGAAAGCTTAAAGAGATCGAGAGCATTTCTGAATATTGAAGCGAAATGGGTCGGCGTTCACCTGGGAAAAGGGAATCGCTGGACTCTTTGACAACCCGTGAAATCAGTTTAACTCGAAGTTGTCGTAACCTCAGTGCTTTAATAAAATGAGAAATTTCGCCGGTCGTTTGTACAATAAAGCAAGTAGGACACCAAGTGTTATTTTTGTTGAATAATAAAAGACTAATAAAAGAATAAATATCAAACCACAAATTGCTCTCTTTAAACTGTAAATTATAAATGATCCTCAGAGAATATTCAGTGTGTTAAGGATTTCCCTGCAGTACTGTTAGCTCTATACAAGAGAAGAAGGGTGATTCTTTTTTAATTTCCGTTTCGCTGACACAGCTTTAGTGGAAATCTCTCTTTAGTCGTTTTCGTCGACAAAACGAATAGCAATATCGCTCTCCGCGTCTTCCACCATTTTTTTCAGCGTCAATTCGCGAAGGACGCGTGGCTCTGAGCGTGGTTCATCCACGCGGGACAAATTCGCGCTATGTGATTGGCTGTTGTCTAATCCCCGTTGGGATCTGTGGTCTTAAAAATAACTCGAGACGAATTACCTATGGAATAGGGCGTGTATGGGGGATGCCTTCTCTGTCCCCTTTATCCTCTCTTGACGTTGCTTAATATGCAGTCGAAGCTCTCGTAAGCGAACACCTAAGAAATTTGTTTAATGAGTGTCTTAAAATCTGATATAGACACGTCTAAACTTTACATTCTTATTTTTTAAGACCAAAATAACGCCATTAAAGGGTTGATTTAAATGAATATGACTGTGAGTGGTCGCTTACGAGAGCTTAACCCTTAAATCCTAATATCAAATTTCAAATTCTCATTTGTTATCCCTATACGTTTTCAATAGAAGTAGAGGGGAGAATTGGTTGAAGTGTCAACTAGATTCACCTTTTTGCGATCACCTCCTCAATTCTCCTGACCTCTGTATTTTATAAAGCAGTGATATTACAAGGAGAAATTTGATGCTGATCACTCGTAGGGCTTAAAGGGTTAAAAACAAAGAAGAAGGTTCAGTTGGGTAATCCCAAAATTGGTCGCGGTTGCTTAAGAGAACTAGTACGTTTACTTTTACTTTTCATTACAAAGTATAAGTCACAGTTCAAACGGGGTTTCACAAAGGCTGTCGTAACTAGAGCTGTATTTTTACGATAGTGGTCACGAGGAGAGCTTCGACTTTATCTCCTCACCAATTTACCTCAACAGGCTGATTTTTGGTAAGTGAACATCATTCATCTTGTTCTTTCCGGATTTACCAACCAATACCATAATTTCACAAATTTAGTTTTTGTGATGTCATCACTTCTTTTCTCTATTGTAAATCTGTCGATCAAACTTATGGAACCGTTTTTGGAAAAATAAAGTTAATTGTTCTTACATTTTTGTTTCTTATCTTTAGGTATGTCCCAATTGACGAGCCAAATAAAGGGGGCAAAGAAACAGATTTTGAATGAACTGAAACGTTGCGGCAGGATTGAAGTTAAAATGACCCAAGGATTAAAAAATTTAAAACCCAGATAGACTTAAAGAAAAAAAGTGGAATGCATTTCCCAGTGGGAAAACCTCCGTGTAATCCTCCAAATATTTTTTAACAACGCAGTTCTTTTAAGACACCACTTGTCCCTCTTTCAGTCTCTGTAACAGTGTTTCACTATCTTTTTAATCCGAGTCTTTGATATCAAAGAAAATCATATGAAAATATAAATATATATAAAACAACTGAATGTGTCCAACTGAGTTTAAAACCGCAACTATGCAATACGTAAAACGGGCATTTTGTAATGTTAGATTGAAATAAAAGAGATGTTCAACGACAGCTAACGCGGATACTTCAATTCCTGTGCCTCCAGCAAGCCAATATTAGAATAAGCTTTCCATGAATTTTCAGATTCAAATTGAGTAGTATGTCGTCAGTTCGGATGATTTTAAAATTCGTTTAAACTCTGTTTAATACCATAAACTGACGAGATACAACTCACTTTGACCCGGAAGATGGTGCCCCGCACAAATTTCAAGACGCTCACTGTCGATAACAGTCTTTTTCACAACTTCACCTTCTCGGATGATTATACTCATATTCCACTCAAGTTTGCCCCAGGTAAACATTTTAATTAATTTTAGATTTACTTTTGTGCAACGTTGGGTCTAGGTTGAGTTTTCAAGCCGCTTACCGTAGCTGATTTTCCAACGTTTTCGAAAGCATTTGGCGGGACGGCTTATGTCGGAGAGTAAGTGAGTAATAGGCATGTTAAGTGACGTCACAGTTTCAAGTCATTTACTATTTTTACCTTAAGTTGCACTTTAACGCATTAATGAATGATTTTCCAGTAATCGGAGATGCGCACAGGATTATGGTATCGTCGGGGGGCAAACATTGCAAGTCGCTACAAAGAAATGTATAACGTGGAGTAGTTGTTTTTCCGTGAAAAAAATTGTCTTTAGACAAAGAATGCCGCGTTTTGCCGTGATTTTATGAGAAGTGTAAGTGACTACTGTTGGTGCGTTGAAATTTTAAGCTTTTTTGTGGGATCAATGCGATGAATTCTGTCGATAAACATGCACTCCTTGCGAAAGGTCGACAGTGAAATTTACTGAATGGTCTCGAATTATATATTTCTAACTTAAGTATAAATGAGAATGGGAATGCGGACTCGTTTATAGGCCTTTCCAGTTGAAGTTATATCTGTTGATATATTTACAACGAGTGTAACTACACTCGGCTCGGCGGCGATCACAACGCTGTGCCGAATTGTGATAACGATCGAAGGTATGTATTGATATGTAACTTTAAAATCAAAAACATCTTCCCTACGTTGGTATATTGATTTCTTCTCGCCAATAAACGCACAAGCAAAATTTTTTGTCATGGTCCGAGCACCATGGAGTTCTACGGCCTTTTCTAATCATTTTGTGGGAGGATACACATATATAGAATCTCTGAAGTCCGCACTTGGTATTTATTTACACTCGCTACGCTTGTATTGGAAATGTCTCGTTTTGCGTGTGCTGATCGCGGCCGGGCGTAGTTTCACTCTTTGTAAAAATCAGCACACGTAATTACAACTAAAAAGCGTAAATGAGCCAACCCCCCTACATTTATACCTAAATTTGCCCTATATATTTCGAGACCTTTTCTTCATGCACATCACTGTGTAAATTCAGTGAACATAAATTTCACACTCAACCTCACGCAAGGAGTGTTTATCGATAGAATTTATCGCATTAATAATCACACAGAAACTTGAAATTTCAACGCATCAACATTAGTCACCTCCGCTTCTCACAAAATCACGACGAAAATGCGTAATTCTACGACCAAAAGACACGTCTTTTAACGGAGGAACTACATTTCTTTGTAGTGACTCGCAATGTTTGCCCCGGCTGGCGATCCCAGGTCCTGTGCGCATAACATGGGTCATTGATTACTGGAATATCATTCATTGTATAATTCGCATTTTAGTTTCAAAACAAGAACTTGAAGCTACACTGCAGATGCCTTAAGCGCCAAAGCCAGAAATAAAGAAAACAAAAACAATCTAAGTATAGTAGTAGGTAGTAATTAACTAAGATGTCGTAAACTTTCCACTCTCAGACAAGCTCAGAGTCACCTGTGGTTCAAATAACACTATTTGGGAAGTACTATCACATAAAACCACTTTCTCCACTTTTCCACATATAAGGAAAGGCTAGAAAGCAGTTTCTTAGAAGTTTCAAAAATCACCCTTGCATAAGATCTGGCATAACTTGGCTTTGCGCGGAAACTGCAAGCGGCCGCATTTCGTTATGCAGTCGTTCTGGACATGATGACTTGCTCTGGCACTAGCCAATAAGGCGGGCTTGTCCTCGATACACGGATGTACATCTTAGAGGAGTCAATCCGGTAAACAATTTTTTGACGTTGTAGAACTACATTTCTTGACATTTTTTACAGACACGTATTTGACCAGGTATGACAAATAATGTTATTGTGTTTTACCTTACCGGGGATGCTGGAACGAATGACAGTATCTTTAAGACCTTTTTACATGCATTGACACAACTGAAGCTACCGACCTTTTTTGTAATTTAAAGAAAACATGACCATGCATGGTCCCGGTTAACTTCGTCAAAATGTTAAACTGACACAGCGCCAGCTATATGGAAATTTATAACGTTGACGCCATGAGTGAATTTTACCTATGTTTCAACTGCATAGTAACAATGATATGATTTGCAACACGCCGTAGAGTCATCGATTTATTACAAGTAATTTAAAGAGAATATATCGAGTCTCCTTCCCAGACCTAGGTCCGCGTCAGATCCGCGTTACAACAGCTGTCCTTATGTTCAGTCCCCGGGCTTCGACAATTATTTTTCTTAGATCGAAAAAGACGGAATAGGAAGTGCATGGGAACTTATTTTCTCATTTCAGGGACTCCATTGTGTCCTAGCCTCCCACGCAGATGTCCTAACGGGCTTGTCACGTGTTCCTGCTCCACGACAGTCTGCTGAAAAGAGCAGCCACTTCCGTTCCATCAACAGTATAGACTCATTGTGACGGGGTGGAGCCAATCACATGCTGCGAAGGAAGGGAAATCGACACCCGTGGTTCACCCGAGGAGTCGTTTTCACAATTAGATTCTCACCAAAATATCCATTATATTCCATGTTCTCATTCAACTCTTAAGAGGGTTATTCGGAGCGAATTCGTTGTGCTTCTACCTTGGGTAAAGACAGGGTTCGAGTTTGGAAACGGTGCTATCGACATTAAGCGATCTTTTCATCTGCAAGGCCCTAGGCCTGCACATGTTTTCCACTGGGGCTGAGTACAAACTGTATCAAGCCGATTTTTTCCCGCTATAAAAATAATACAGCCACGAGAGAATAAGCCACCTATCGTACATTTTATAAGTGCGAAAATTGTGACAGAGAATGTAGCCTGTCACTCCTTGCAGGTTTTACTTGAATTAGTTCTTCACAGATATCACTATGAGAATTCGAAGCGGCAAGAATCCCAAGATTTGCCACCTTGTGGACCTCACTATACAAGCGGTGAAGCTACAACAACAATATGGCCAGCAGCTTCAAAAATTTAGTCAAAACAAACGGAAAAGCTCGACTAATGAACGACTTTCCACATCCACTGGATGTGGAAAGTCGTTCATTCGATCTACAAAAATTGGACTTAATGCAGCCTTCTGTTTGATTCGGTTTCAACTACCTAATACCAAACATTTCGGACATCAACACGACACTAAACATATTTAAGTCCCTTATCTTGTCCTGGGTAATATTTTCAATAACAAGCACGAGTTAACCCAAAGTTGGAAAACGGCCTTTGATTGGTTCGTATCTACGAACGGAAGTGGCTGTTCGTTTCAGCAGGCGTTCTTGGGAAAGCCCCCGAACGCGTGACGAAGCCCAAAGAGCGTCTGTGTGGGAGGCCAATTCTGTCCAAGCTAATAATGTTTAGTTACGACATCTTGTATTTGACTTTCACTGGGTTACAGCCATATTTAAAATAACGACTAAGACTCCGATCAAACTCTGACCCAGTCGCTAGGTAAATCAACGGGGCCTTTCTAATTAAAACGTGGAGAGACTCAGTGAACATAAATTGGGAAGAATAAATCGAAAGGATTGTTTCCGAATCGGTGATATTCAATTTACTGCAATTTGCCAAACCGAGAAAATAGTAATTCAGGTCATATCAAACTCAGAAATTAAGCGAAACATTTTAAATCTATTCAGTTCATCTGAAAGACAACGTATCAAAAAAAAAAGAAAAAAAATCAAGAGCTGGATGCATGAACAAAATAGTACCGCGCCGCAACAATTAAAAGTAAGGATAGATTTATGATCCCGCAAGTATTTTGAAATATCCATCCTTGGCGACTTGTTTTGGGTTGTAAAAGATCTTTCTTTTTTAATGATGAGCTGCTGTAAAACTAGGCAATCATTATCATAGAGACTTCCCCTGCACAAATAACCCGTCATGCAACATGTTGTTGCAGCAGCGTTGCATTGATTGGCTGTTACATTTCGACCGTTTGCCGTTTAAGTCTCTCTTCATTTTACCAAAGCAACAAATAGTTACAGTAACTGTTAGAGATTAAATAAAAATGGTTTATTCCTTTTTCGTGCTATAACAAATTTATCTTCAACATCCAGACAAAGCTTACATTCACAATCAATTTAACTGTGGTCTATCGGTGGTTAATTCACTAGTCTTCACTCTAAGGTTTATGCAATCCTCATCTGAAAGAGAATGGATAAAAGCAAATCAGATTTCCCCAACTGAAAAAGGTGCCTCAACTTTGCTGTGATAATTTCTTGTATTGTATGAAAGTTTCATCAGCTTTCCGTTAATGTGCTTAAATACAAAGGGTCGGCACAAATGTAGCCAGACTGATTACCGATGTCAGATGTTTTCATAATTATTTAATAGTTAACTGGGTCCCAATACCGAATAGAGCTGGCCCAAACT